CTGGGTCTGGAGCGTTACACTTTTTGAATTTTATTAAATAGAACCTTGTTTTCTTTTATCTCAATTTTGGAGAGTATCACCTTTAATTATTTGCTTTTTGAGATTGATTTTCCCAAGTTTTTTTTGGTCATTAACGTCATTATTTAACTATGTTGCATCACTCTCTTTAATTTAACATATTTAAAGCAAATTAGTGGTCTCTCACCATTCTTAAGTTTCATAATTTGTGTGCTTTGGTAGTAAAGTGTAACCATTATGCTTAAATAAGATCATTCTCGAGAGAATACAGAGGTGAACCATAATTTTTTATTTATATATTAAAGTTTATTTGGGTCAAATTGGCGATAATTGTTTTTTTCTTTTTAATATTAATTTTCATTTTCAATGCAAAATAATGTTGTTATAATTATCATTGACGGTTTCCAATAAAATCTGCCCATACAAATACGAAATAAATTTATTTTACTAATAAAGTTTCCTTCTATTTTCTACAAATTATCAGTATTATTCTAATATTCTTTTTGGAAATATAAAATCAAATATTTTATTCAAACGTAAGAGAGAAGACCAGCCGACCAGACACTCTCTCTTCCGATGAAAGACACCTATTTTATATTATTAATATGCACTGTTGACATTTAACTATTTTGTTTTATTCAAATATGAAAATAAATATATATTATATTTCAGAAATATAAGAGGGAATGAACTTCAATTAATAAAAAGCCATCATAAAAGAAAAATTATTGTTCAAAACTCAAACGAAAGCAGTGTAATATTTTATGCAATAATCATTGCATAAACAATAATTGATTTAATATAATTATAGAAATGGTTAATTGATTAACTATAATAATCACTCATGGGCATGTCCTCTACTTTTTATTATATTTATAATAATTTAATGATAATCTTTTATCTGAAATATGTTAGATTTCTCATTATCTCTTTATAAATAAATAAAAATAAAAGAATGTTAAATATATAATTCCGTCGTTTAGTTATTTTTTAATTTCGTGATTTCCATTGTCCTTGCTCTCACAAAATTTTGTGTCTTAATAAGTCCTTCTCGTAAACTTAATTAATTTAATATTTACATAGGATAGTAACCTATACTATTTAAGAATTACTTGATGCGGACTAAAATTCAAACATGTTTATGGTGGAACAAATTTAAATAGAGTTAAAAATTAATAAAGATATACTATACACAAAAATTGAAAAATTAATAAAGATATATTATACACAAAAATTGGATATATCATTAGTTTTTGAAGTATAGAGACCAAGTAAACGTATAGTTTTGAAAGTTCAACTATCTATTAGCGCTTAGATAAATTTGTAATTTAACTTTATATATTTAACTTAAAAAAAATTATTATGCAATGGAAGAAAAGAGATAAGAAAGTGAAAAGAATGATTGAGGTGTGGCATTCCACTCCACAACCACACCACAACTTCAAGTGCTTTGTGGCCTTTAATTTAACGGAGTGGAACCAAATAATTGTCAACCCTTACCATCCCATTCTTCTTTTGATGTGTCAATTGTGAAAATTTCTTAACTTGGGGCCAATGAAATCAATGTTCCTCTAACTCTAATTCATAACCATCCATTATTTTCTTTGTTATTTTTTGTTCTATAATGATGTTTGCTTTTGAACTTTTTTCTCCCCTTTTCCACTAAACACTTGAATTCTCTTTCTGGAAGATATGGGTGTTGTGGGAATATAGGACTTGGGCATTATATATTTCTTCACAAGATGTATTATTAGTGTAGGTTGGACTTTGTGTGCATTTTTTAAAAGTATAGCATATGCCCATTACATTTTATCTATCTTTATTTGCATCCATCAAATCTGGGTTTCTGCGAGTCATCGTGTTCTGGAAGCCCATGTTCTACCACGAACTAATAAAAGTAAGTGCACAAGTTGTAAAGATAAGCACGTAAGGTTGAAGATAGGACTTTCAATTTCAAACATTATATTCAAGTAGCGTTTATAAAAGAAAGAGTGGCTTTTTTTTCATATATTTGATGTAGTAGAGCTCCTTCATGAGATGTATTTTCTTAAAGTTCTCATTCATTAGAATGTATTGTTAGTGAGCTTCTTGCCATGCTTATTAAGAAATCCACTAAAATAAGGTACTTTATCAAAAAAAAAAAAATTAAGAAAAGAGGGAATATACAGTTTCACCCCATATAATGCTTTTGTGCAATAAAATAAATAGATTTCCTCTCTTTTGAGAAGAAATACAATGTCTCATATTGGGGCATTGATTTATTATGTTGTGTCCACTTACTTTGCCCACACCTTTTTTTATAATTAGTCAACTCTTTTTTGTCCATATATTGATATATAATTAATTGTCTCATGGCCCCTTGCTCTCATGGACAGGCATCCTTGTTCTCCCTCATATTGGCATATATTCATTTCATGTGCCTTATCATTTATTTTTGTTCAGAGGTTTTACATCTTATAAGCTTATAGCTAAGTACAATACATCCATATATTAAAATGAAGCTTCTGGGTTGAGTTAAAAGAAATTTGAGTAGACTAGGTCTCCAAGGTAAATAATGTTGTCATTTTGAGAAAATTACCGTGTCGATGTGCATTTTTTAGCAGGAGGATACGTCAGCTACAATCTTACAGGAAGAAGCTCGCATTGGGGTGTGGGTGCTAAGCCAACTACACTTAGAAATTAAAGTGTCGAGCAAAACTCAAAAGAAGTGGCAAGAATTTGCATACCTTTGAGAAGGGTGAGACTCAACCTTTTATAACAGGAGAGTATTGAGAAGTGTGACTCTGCCGTTATAGCGTCGTACTTGTCCATTAATAGATTTTATGCCAACTACGAGGATAGCCAAAATGATCCTTTTTGTTGAATGTCAACCAATATTCCACCAGGTGAAATCTTTCCTAGATCAGGGTTGATCTGAGCTTTATTCGCTTTGTCACATGAACTTCCTCCTCGTCTTTGAGGTGCATGAGCTGAGACCCAGATCCACGTATCCAAGCAACGGTCACATGTTGTGTTAGATTTTACCTATATAACATAGTTTTTTACTATTTAAATTCTTGTTATATTACAGGTTTAGTTTTTAACATTCAAATTCATGTTTAATAGATCTCTAAACTATAAAAACTGTCTAAATAAGTTCTTGAGCTTTCAATTTTGTTTCTAATAAGACCCTAAATTTTAAAAGTGTATGATAGATTCCTAAATTTTTAATTATGTGTCTAATAGGTCCTTGATCTATTGAACATTTTTTTAGAAATCTATTTCACATAAAATTTTAATTTTGTGTCAAATAGAATCATAAACTTTCGATTATGTATGTCTAATACAAGTCCAAAAATTTTGAAGATATCGAGTAGGTCAATGTGACTATTATATATAAAATTAAAAGTTAAGAAATTAATTATTAAATACAAAATTAAAACTTTATAACCTATTAGACATGAATTTATTTGATGTTTTCAAAAGTTATAACTTAACCCATAAATTTTTTGAAATAGTTCCATTTTGTCCATGCATTACTTTTCTTTTTTTCAGTTATAATAATAGTAGTGGGATATTTTACAACATAAAAGGACACAAGTTTTATATTAAATGAATACTTTTCGAAGTTGAGAGGAGAGCTCGTTAAGTTTTTGAAAATTTAAGATTGGTTTGGTAACGTTTCTATTTTCTGTTTTTCGTTTCTAATTTTATTAAGAAATCTAAACATTTTATAACTGTGTAGGTTTCTTATTTCTCTTCTTTTTTTATATATATAAACATTCTATAAAAATTTTGGAAACAACGCAAAAAAGTTTCTTTGTTTCTTTGTTTAGTTTTTAATTTGTTCCAACATAAATAAAAAGTTTGCTTTATCGTCCTTCAATCTATGAATCTTGAGGTCATGCAATTCTACTTTCTTTATTAAAAAGAAAAACAAAACAAAAACAAGAAAGGAAAACGTTACCAAATTATTTTAATCATACATGGGTGGGTGGAGTCCGAGATAAGTTGTCTTTAGTTTCTTAAGAATATATATGATTTGATTAACATGGAAGAGTGAAATTTAAAAAACCAATAATAATAAAGAAATTTTGAAAGTTAAAATTCAAATGATTTTCTTTAAATGCTACGAATCCTTTAAATTGTGGGATTTGCTATCAACAAATAATTAGGAAGGAAAAATATGTAGGTAATTTCATTATAAAAGTGTGGCTACTTTTTGAATTTTTGAGTCAAAAATACCCATTTAGTACTAGTTCATTATTTAAAACAATTTGCTTAGTTATTTAATTGGACTCAAAATTTTAAAAATTAAATTAGTTAGTTTTACTTTTTTTTTTTTTTCCATAACTTTCCCAATCTAGAATACTCATAATTCTCATAATTGAACAAGTTGTTCAAATATGTTTTTTAATCAGGTTGCTCAACCAACCTCATCTCCATGGTAGTTAGAATTAATTTAATAGCTAATTTCTAATTATAGGTAACAAAAGAGTAGACACTTATATTTGAACTATTTAATTGAATATATTTAAACCATTTATGTTGAGTGATTTTAATTATAACCTCATTGATACTAACTTAAATATAGTTCAATTTGTTATAACATACCTTCCTGAATTTAAATTTCAACCTCCACATAATGTTGTACTAAAAAAGATTATGAGCTTGTTAAGTTTCCTACCGTGGTGTAAATTATTTGAGAAGTGTCTTTGATCATAAATCAACGAAATACAAATTCAAGGAAATTAAGTGGCTAACTACAAACTTATAAATTGATGTATACAAGACCCTTTATTTCATACTATGTATTTTAATAAACATAAGTTGAATAAATAAAACACATATTACCATTTTATTTCTTGAAAAATAATATTTTTTTGTATTTTTTTTTTTACACAAATTGGATATGGAGTTCGAAATCTCACCTCAAGGGAAGAAATAAATGCCAATTAACTCTGAACTGTACTCATGTTTGCTTTTTTTTTTTTTTTTTTTTAATCTCTTGTTGGTGCATTTCAAATTTACTCCCCTCGTCTTGCTTTATTTTCTTCCAATCTGCAGGATAATATATCACCGAGTTAATTAAGAACTAAGAAGTATTTCCCAAAAAAATTTGGGGAAAGGTTTCTGTTTCTAGCGACCTTTATTGTTATTTTAGGTTTCATTTTACAAACAAACTATTTTGACTATATGTCTTTTGTTTCTTTTCAGAGACATTATTTATTTCATCTTAAAATATAAGTTTATTTTTTTAAAGGTTTAAATTATATCTTGGTTGGTTTTATTATGTGTTTTTGTTATCCATTCACTTTTGAAATGTTTATTTTTTGATATTTGTTTATGGAGTTTTTTTTTCATTTTTGTCTACATACTTTCTAAACGTCTACTTTAATCTTTATATTTTTTAAAAGTGGTCGCTTTGATTTCTTCAACAAAATCCTAACCCAAATTTTATATCAAGTATAGTATTTCGCTTAAATTGTGATTGAAAAATGAGAGATAAAAAAAATAAACAAATAAACCAAAACAATCACTTTTTAAAAAAATTACGTAAATAACCAAACTATAACATTTTGAATATAAAATAACAAAAATAGACCAAAGGTAAAGTACTGAAACTTAAATTAATATTTCGAAAATACAATAATACAAAAATTGAGAATGCAATAACAGAAGTAGAAAAACTTATTTCAAAGATTAAAAAATCGTTTGGGTTATTGTGCTTTGGAACTTGTTTTGTTTTAATACATTCAACTCCCAAATTTTTGTTTTTCTGAACAAAATTCAACCGCCAAATATAATCCATGTTGTTTTATTAAATCCTAAATTAATCTTCGCCATTAATCCTATGATTTAGTCCTAATCTGCTTTCTCTTTATAAATTTAGAAAAAGAAATTCAAAACTATATTTGAAATTCATGCATTATCCGAAGAAAACAGTTTGAAAGAAAACGTACCAATTGCTTAAGCGTTTTATTGGGTGAAGCTGAACTCTTGGACATGAACCCTAAATCCCCAATTCCAATTCCATTTCGTCCCCGTGAATTCGAATCTCTCTCCTCAATTCCATTTCCCTTTCTCGAATTCATCACTCTCTCCACCATTCGACTCCCAAGAATGTTCGTCGATTCCGTTCTTCTCTGATCATTCCCCAAATTTCCGCCTCTGTTGATCTCCTGCTTCGCTTCCACCCTCCGCCCCCTCGTCACGCTCGGCGACGGCGAGCACGATTGCCTTCTGGGATTCATCGCCTCTGTTCTCTGCCCGGTTCCCACCTGCCGCCCTCTTGTCACCGAGCTCGACCGATCGGTCCTCAGATTCGGCGGCGTTTCGTTGGAAAAATCTGAAATTTGAGATGCTATTGTCGATCTCACAATTGGGGATGTCGTTCTGCTTCTCGGATTCGGAGTTGCTTTGGTGGTATTCGACGATCCTTTGGAGAGGTTTGAGGTTAGGTAATTCGTACAGTTTTCTTTCGGATTTATGGATTTGATGTTGTTGCTGTTGATGATGATGTTTCTTTTGATCGTGGGATCGGTTGATTTTTCCTGAGCCTGATTGGTTCTTAGGTTTGGATTTGGAGTTGGGGTAGTGGTTCTTTTGGTGTTTTTGGATTCAGTTGATGAATTGATGCGCGGTCTATGACTGGGAGTGATGAACCTGGATGGTATTTTTGGTTTTGTTGTCTGAGTTTTCTCCATTCCATTGCTTTTCTTTGTTGTTTCTGGATTGCTTGAAGCCTGGCCAGAAAATTACAACGGAGACGGAGAGTTTATAATGAGGTGAGACAGATATTGAGATTCGACGGATACATTATTGATATATATGGAGATTGGGGTGAGAGAAACCATGAAGGAGAATCAAGAGCTAATTATGTGGTCATAAAACCAATTTGATATTTCAGAGTTCAGAGTTTGGATGAAGAAGGTAAATAAAGATTTTCACTTCACATTGGATTGTTTCTGTAGTGAAAAAAAAATTCAGAAAAAGCGCACCTGTGACTGTGGCTGTGAGAGAGGTTGGACAAGTGGTGTATCTTTCTGGAAATTCATATGAGTAGCAGTGGCTTCCATTTCCAAAGATGGAAACAGAGGAGTTGCAGGTGGTGTTTTAAGCCTTCACCAAGCAGCAATTCATGAAGATAAGTTCAGAAATTAGATCGCCAATTAAATGAATCGTGAAGCAGAAAAGATTAGTTTTATACCAATCAAAATCGTTTTTATTGCCCTCAGAGAGAAGTTCAAATCCAGATTCTTTCCTGATCGATTGAATCCTGTAGAAAGGAGAATTCCCTGCAAAAGTTAACTCAAGATTAAATATAACCTTATCAAAAAATCCAACAAAACTCAGTATGGTTTGAATGGTGGAGATCATGGAGTTTTAAGTGCCACCATTGTTGTGCTCAAGCTCATCGGAGACAGGCAGAAGAAGGCAGGCAGTGCGTTCCTTGTCGCGCTTATGCAGTTCCCGGAACAGATGGAGATCTTCATTGTCTCTTTCCTTTCGACCCTTTAAATGCAGGCTCATCATCCATCTGCTTTTGTTTTCACTGCTATTGTTCATGGTGGAGTTCCCTTTTCTTGAAAATCTTTCTGAAATTTCTTCTTAGGATCTGTAATGAATGGTAATGGAGACTGGTGGTATTATTGTTCTTAAGAACAAATAAAGGTGAGACTTTTGGCTTCGTTGGAAGAGAGAACTCAGCCAAATGGAAGACACTGCCGGCAACTTCGATGTCTTTGTTTTGAGCTTTTGGTAAAAGTTTGGAGAACTTGTAAGAGGGTATTATAATAAGAGTGCTTCTCTAAGAATCATTGGAAAACCAGATTCCTCCATACCAGACATTTGGCTCCCTTCATATTAACATTTAAGTGTCAGTTATTATTATATAATAATTTAGTATTTGTAATTTACAAATCTATTTAATTCTTCCTTAGTTTTATTTAATTCTTCCTTCATATTTAATCCTAATATGAACTATACAAACTTGAGATTCTCAATGAGTTTTATTTGCCATACTTGGGAGAGAAATATGAAGAACTACAAGGACAAGAGAGGGCACATATTTAAGTCTAAATTCAAAAAGAACAAAGTACAAGGATATGTTTGTTTTACTCAAAAGTCAGGATGGAAAAGGAAAAGACCTATGTTTTGTTATACATCCAAATGCATAAATCATATTAAAAAAACATTTGAAAATGTCAAAAAGAAATGTTTCTAAAGGTCACCTTCATATAGTATAATTAAAATCAATTATTGTGCCAATGGCCGTCCCTGCCTGTTATAATTGGCCGTCCATCATGGCTAAATTACACGTTTAGAAATTTTTTAACTTTAAAATGTGTTTGATAAGTCTCTGAACTTTTAAAATTTTATGTTTAATAAGCTTCTAAATTTTAAAAATGTTTAATAGATCTCTCAACTTTCAATTTTATTTTGTGTCACAAATTATAAAAAGCAATTAAATTGTGGAATGGATTATGTTGTGTTTGCATTAAATTAATGGCCATTAAATAGGCTTCAAGACATAACGACTTAATATTAGTTTAGGCACATATTAACCCTTTAAGACTAGGCATCACATAAAGACTAGGAACTAAATTTGAAAAACTCAAAATTACATATTAATATTAATCTTTAATCTATTTGATATTTTTTTTTCAAAATTAACAAATATATTAGACATAAAAATTGAATTTTGTGTCTAATAGATGTGTGAATTTGAAAAATATTGAATAGGTCAAGAAATATTAGATACAGAGTTTGAGATTTCATCGGCCTATATATTAGACACATTAAAAGTTTAGAAATCTATTAGATATTTTTTAAAACACAAAATTAAAAGTTCAAAGATCTACTTAACACTTTTAAGTCAAATGGACTTATTAGATACAAACTTAAAGTTTAATAACTAAATTTGTAATTTAACGATTATAATAATTAACATTAGCTATCAAACTTCTAAAGTGATGTTTCTTCCCTAGAGTTTGATATCGATAAGAAAAATAAAGATTATTTTGGATAAGATCATGGATCAAAGAATGAAAAAAAAACTTTCAACAATTTTGTAAAAAAAATGTAACAAATTCTCATTCAAGACTTTTAACGTTTAAATAGGTAATTGGCATTTATCTCCGACCAATAGGTTGTGATGAGTTCTTAACAAAGTTTACGATCTAAATAAATGTGTTGACTGCACTAATTACTTGTTTAAATGGGAATAATGAAGTTTTCTGTTTTTTTTTTTAAGAAAATAATATATACATTATTTATTTATTAAAACTAATTATTTTAAATTAGTTAGTTAGTATGTTTAAATTAAATTTATTATCAAGTTTAAATTAATTGATAATAATTTATTAAATTAGCAAAACCAATTCTGAATTGTATAAATTAATCGACAACCTTAAGCCATTTACATTGTAAAAAATAAATTAAAATAATGCAATTAAGTAGCTAATAAAAATATTAATTAATTAATAACATATTGTATTATATTTATTTATTTATAATTATATAAATTAATTAAGTATAAATATTCATTTTTTCAAATAACTATAATTAAGTAAATTCATTAATTATTTATAATCAATTAAGTTATATCTATTTTTCGGAATTAATTTTGAATAGTTCATTAATTAATATATAATGATTATATAAAATTCCTAGGATTAATCTATAAAATCAACACAAGTATCATTTATTTTCATGAAAATCCTTTTCCAATAGTATTTTGGATGTGTAAACAAATATGAAAGTTTTTTTTATTTACAACAATATTATCCCGAACAAATCATATTATCATGGATCTATCAAATATGGATATCTAGTAACTAACAAAACCTTAAACCAATTGATTCGAACATCAACAATAACCCTAATATAGTATCATTAATATGTGATAACTTTTATCTTTCTATATTTGGACTAAGAGTTCTTCATACCCAAAATTTATCCAGACAAAATTTTCTTGTAGAGACCTGCCTCATCAGGGTTATATTGAGTCTTTCTTTAAAAAAAATAACAAAATAACAAAATATAAATATAAATATGGACGGACATATAATTTAGATCAAATTGAAAATAAAATTTCTTGAAATATCAGAGGCAATTGAAGCTACCAAAATTTATCAAAACTAATTCTCCACACAAGAAAGTAAACTAGAAGGGAAGAACTCCTCCTAGTTCAAGAGTACTCTTGATTGGTCAAAGTAAATCATCGCATCTACGGTCTAACGAACGAATTGGAAGAGAATGAATAGATTCTTTTCCAAAAGCGAATCATGATTTCTTAAGGCAGCAAGCATCATACAATTTCACCTCCTCGAGAATTTTTGTTCTCCCATTTTTCTTACCATGATAATCTTTGTAAAAATAATTTTATGGATAAAGTTGAACTTTACGTAATGTCTAAATTTGATATAGGATGCCATCAAATGGAAAGTTTAAGATAAAAAGAATAAAAAAAATATCCCACAATTAGTAATTTCCTATCGATTGACATTATCGCAACAATAAATACCAATACGAACAAAAGAAGTAGAAGAAGACAAACCGAGTGGCTATCGCAGGATTTGGCCCACAATAGAATAACAACGCCATCAAATTGAAACCCAAAGTGACCCATTCATTCATTCATTCATTCATCGATTGATTGATAAGAGCAGCAGAGCGAAACGATTCTCATGTTCGGTCGCCAAGGTATGGGCGGCGGAAACATCATCAGAACCGCCAGCAGAGCCGTCGCCAGAGCCAGCGGCGGACTTCAAGACGCCGCCGCGACCGCGACTGCGACTAGACCTTCCTCTCCGACCTCCACTTCCCGAGCCACGCACCGGCACGGCGGCTCCGCTAATTTCCACGGCCTGGCGTCGACCTCTGCCTCTTCGCAGAGCCACTGTCCGGTTTCCGCCACTTGCGGCGTCGCCGCCGGCTGGCCCTTCTGCAATCGCTACTGCGATGAGTTCGTGTGGATTTCAGAGGAGCGCGAAAATGGCGGTAGGGTTTGTTCTGAGGACGGCGTCGGTTGCTGGTCTGTTCCTTCGGTGGACGAGGTTCACGGCGCCGTCTCTGCGCTTCACCAGTACGAATTCCAACTCCATTTTTTCCTCAATTTCTAGTTTTCTCTATAATGATTGCCGGTTGCAAATTTGTGGAGCGTAGGGTTTTCGGGGAAGAGAAGGATGATTCGGGTCGGGTCGGGAAGTATATGGGTTTGGCCAACCGGGTTTCTTCGGTCGGGTCCGGGTCGGACTGGGTTGAGCCGTGTTTGGAGCTGCAGATGGGTGGGCGTGGAGTTGAAAGGGTTTTTGATGCTTTCCATTTATTGCAGACCGACCCCTCAGTTCAGGTGACTTTTGCCACTCGCTCCTCTAACTAAAGAGTTTTATTAAAATTTTAAATTATAATTTTGGTCCCTATGATTTTGGTTCGGTTATAATTTCAATTTGTCAGTTTGGGGCAGTCGAGATTTTACTTTTTAAATAAGTTAAAAATTAATAATATGAATATTATTTTCATATTATCAAACAGAGTCATGGACGTATGGAAATATCGCAGTAGAAATTTGATATCCTAAGGTTTTATAATTTTAAAACTTTAAATGATGATAAATATGGACACGTGTTTTTATCTACGTGACAATAATAAGGTCATACCATTTAATTTTGTTGAGGATCTTTGTTGACTCATGTATTAAAAGATGATGAGTAGGTTTTTACGAGTGGATAAAAATTAGTTTAGGGATTATTTTTTAGGTTTAACCAAGATTTGAAATTATAAGACGGAACTCATAATTTAATCATTTTTTTAAATACTTCTTTCAAATTGGAATTTGAATAAAAATTTCTTTATTATATTATGTTATATATAATTAATTATAGTTCCACGGCACGTGAGACTGAGATTTTGAACCTCCAATTTTATCGAAGATATGACATATCCATGAACTTGTTTGCTTCAAAAATTGAATAAAGGGAAAAGACAAATTGCATGAACTTAGTTGATCTATAATTTACGTTTCGTTTTTCATTTGTTTTAAGAAATATATCGATCATTTCGTTGTGTTCGGTCAGAGAATGGTTATGTCAGTATCATCAGATAAAGCAGTTTGGGACGCCATTCTAAACAATCAGGCAGTGCAACATCTCAAGAACTCCTTCTACGAAGGTTAGTTTAGTCTTATAACACTCATTTTTTATTTTGTCGAAATAAAACAATGGAATTGATCCCGAAACTATTTTTGTAGATATTGATATTTTTTTAGTTGGGTTTAGTATTTTACGTATTTGATTTTGTGGTAAGGTTAGATTTTAGTTGTTCAGTTTAAGTATTTCTAGAGCTTGATTTTGAATGTTTTATTGATTGAATTGTGTTTAACCATCAGATAGTTTGGTGGACAATTTTTATTTTAGTTTGAGACAGCGTCAAATTTGTTTTAATATTCTTTTGACGTTCATCGGTGATTTAATCATGTTTAAGATGTTGGATGAAGGGCCTGGGCAAAAGAACAGGAAGGGTACTTAATTCTCCGTTTTTGTGTAGCCAAAGATGACAGTCCTCAGAGTTCAGAGGAAAGCTCCCCCGACAAGCCCCCCGACGAGTCGACGAGCGTGATCCAGTGGATGTTCGACAACACGAAGACGAGAGTGATGGAAGTAATTGAGAGGATCACAGAGCTGGTGAACCACTTGTTTGAGAATGTAAATGATGATTATGAAGATGAAAAAAAGAGAGGAGCAGAAGCCATGGATCCCTTTGAGGAGAAGCTGAGAACTTCATTCTTCATCTCCATTGTTGTGCTGCTGCTTGTAATGGTGAGTCGAGCCCACAAGGCCTCTCAATGAATTTGACGACATCAAACTTTGCTCCACTGAGCAATCTCTTTCTTTTTTTTTTTGGTAATTTTTTTCTTTTTTCTTTCTAAATAAATTATGCATATTTTGTTCATGCGTTGTTTTTGCAATTCTTAGGTCACTTTTGGTGTTCTGTTTTTCCCAATAGATTGCTTGTTTATGTCTTTTTTTTTCCAAAAATCATCCTCATGTTGTAATAACCTTTTTTTTTTAAGAACCTTTTTCTTTTTTGTTCTTCTATTCTAATTTTAGATATGGTATTAAATATTCATTGATGTGTCGATATTTTCATTGACGTTTTCATGTAACTATAGGTTCGACATTGACATGAGGGATAAATACACATTTCAATTATATTACAAAAAGATTGATAAATATATATCAATATTAATATTTTTAACTTATTTAGAAATAGAAAAAAATGTTTATTTGTTAATTTAAATATTTTTTACAATTTTTACAGAAATGTCTATTAACGTTGACATTTTATTATTTTATCGATATTTCCATAAAATTGAGACCTCGATGTTTCATCAACATCGTTATTTAAAACTTTGCTTTTAAAACATTTTACATATTTTAGCGAAATTTTAAAAACAAAAGAAATTTAAATATGTAAATGGGTAGGCACAAGCTTAGTATTTAAAAAACAAACTCCAAAATGTAATTTTATTATCATATATGTCTCTGGTTCTGCAAATTTTCCTTGACTTTTAGAAAACGCCTGTTTAAATTTATCATTTGAATAGTAGATTTTTAAGGTGGAAAACATAACAGAATAAATTAATAGTAGAGCTCGTTTCATAATGATTTTATTTTTTTTTTAATTATGTTTGTTTATTAATTTCTTTTTGTTTCTTAATCTACTTTCAAGAATATCTCCAAAACACTAACCAAATTTTAAAAACAATAAAATTTTATTTTTCAATTTTAGTTAAAATTTAATAAGTGTTCTAAAATTTAAAATATTTATATGCAAAGAAATAGATAGAAAACCATGCTTTTTAAAAATAAAAAGTATTATAAACTATACCTTAATTAGTGCTCCCTAATTTTTTCAGCTACATCAATACCTACATTAATAATTAAGTATAGTTCAATAAATATGATATTTATATTACATTTTGTTAGGTTCAACATTTATTCTCATCCCATTGCTAAACTCAAATAAAAAATAGAAGAGTAAAAATACAGTTTGTTTACTACAATGAATGAGATGGAGGATTCAAATTCGTTACTTATTGGTCAAGTCGGACACATATGTCAATTATCGTTAAACTAAGTTCATGTTAGTAAGTAAAAACACAATTTTGGATATTGACATAACTGATCTAACATATTATTTTCTTTCATGGATTTTACACATCAACAATAAACGGTAGTTTGAAACAATTTTTAATACTATTTTAATACTCATCCATCAGCAAATACCAATATAGTTCAGACATTAATAATTTAAGGGTAAAAGATAGGAGAAAGGTTAGAATAATGCTCCACTGTTATATTCTCAAAATATATTTATATATTTTAGCCAAAGAAAGAAATTTACATCTCACGTCCAAGAAGAGAAAAAAGCCTGGAAATTCGGAAAATGACACAAAAAAATGCTCTCATTATTCAATTAATAATTAAGCAGCATCACTTCAGAGGAAAAAAAAAAAGTACGATGGTACTCACGATTTACGAAGATTCTTCAACGTTCTTCCGAATCCATTCCGTTACGATGAAGCAGCCTTTTTGGAACTGGAGACCACCAGCCTTCTGCTATTCATATGCTTCGACGGTCCATGTCCACGGACCCAATCCTCGCACCCGTCCAGAATTGTCGTCAGCTGAAACGGCGGCACGTCCGTCGCCAGCCACTGGTCCACGTAAAACGCCGTCTGGGAGCACGCTCTGTGCGGCCCCGTCGACGTGACCTCCACGTAGTCACAGTACCACCCGTGGTGTGGGCCCGAACCGTCGGAGGTCAAGTTCAGTCGACACACCGGCGCGTCGATGCACGCGCCTCTTCCGCTGAATACGTCGACGCTGTCACGTTCGAAATAGTCGTGGCCGGGTCCCATCAGCCCCCACGATTCCAGATCTGAAATCGACACCGATTGGCCGAATGAATCGCCGAGGGTGATGCTGATTTTGGAGTCCGTCCCGCCCTTCAGTATTGAACCTGTCCTCACATAGAAGGTGTACACGCATTTGTCCTACAATCGGGAAACACTCTCGTCAATTTTCACGGATAATCCGATCAGGCTTTAATTTTCACATGTAATAGAATAGAAATCGGAGCATTATCTTGCATTGTCTACGCAACATTTCTGAAATTAGTTGGCCTGTCCTAACTCATAACCAATCTGAAATGTAAATCATTCGATCCGCTCGTTGATTATTATACATAATCGAGTATCATCAATTGGAGCACCATCTGCATTTTCTAAACAATATTTCTGAAATTAGTTGGCCTACCGTAACTCATAATCAATCTGAAAGGTAAATCATTCAAATCGTTAATTGTTACCACATACATACAATCGACTATCACCGACGCAGAAATCGGAGCATTATCTTGCACTTTCTAAACAACATTTCAGAAATTGGTTGGCCTGTCATAACTCATAATCAATCTGAAATGCGAATCATATTACACATACAATCAACGCAGAAATCGGAGCAGATCATTATCTTGCATTTTCTAATAAACAGCATTTCTGTAATTATCTACCCTGTCCACAACTCATAGCTAACTCAAAATCAATCTGAAATGTTGCAAAGTCGATCAACTAACAGGATCACAGAAACAGACACAGTCGAAAGCAAACACAAGGAAAGATCAGATTCAATGGATGATGAAAGTATGAAGATCATGTGAGATGCGACAATTAAGGAACTAAAAAAACAGAGGAAACTAACGTGAGAGTCGCCAGCCATTGCAGAGAGGAAGAGAGCGATGAAGACGATGGAGAAGCAGAGAGAAGGAGGTGCCATTTTTGCAGAGGTTTTGAGATTTAGGGCTGAAGGAGATGGCGATGATTGGTTTATATACAGGTTCATGGCTGGGGAAGGGGAAGGAGGAAGATGACATTATTGTCACGTGAGTTGCACGTGGCGCGTGCCTCTCCGTTTTAGGACAGAGATTAACGCTTTCGATATTTTGACCTGGCAAATTCCGGTGGATAGGTAATGATACAATATTACAACATTTACATTATTTTATTATTTTTCTTTTTTAAATTCGAAATTAAATGGGAAAAGATGAATCAGTGTTGCAATTTCCACCCCTACTTTAAAAAGTATTGCAATTTTACTGTTTAATAGGTTTTTAATGGAAAAAAGTATTTTGATATGGGTCAAATGATTATAAAATATATATTTAGTATGAATTACAGCTTACAAAGTTTATAGGTAAACAGTTATTCTTCCCCAAATTAAATTAGGAAAAAGTTGTTTGATATATGATACTTTTCCATTGGAAAAATTTCAATTTTTATCCTCCTACCTAAGTGATTTTGACATTGCTAAAACCATTTTACTTATGCCAAAATGGCTTCTATTTTAACATAGAATGTTTGGCAAGAATCACTTTAAGTGATTCCTGATCAATTACTGGAAGGGTGATTCTCCAATAATAATTTTTGTCGGTAAGGAGGAGAAGAGGGAAGGAGATGGAATGTCTCGTCACACTGAAAATATTATAAAACTAGTATATTTTGTCAAATTAATAATGTACAGTAAGTAAATTAATTGTCACAAAATAATTTAAGAATAATTTAGAATCATTTTACAAACTTCATGGACTCAGGGTGTTCATTTAAAAACTTCAATGATCAAATAAATACCTATTCCAAACTTAAGGGATAAAATAAATTTCTGTTTTAAAATTTCAGAGACCAAATACATATATACATCAAACTTTAGGGACCAAAAGTGTATTTTTCCCTTTAATCTATATAAGTTATACGTGAAAAATCAGGTGTAGTTTAATATATATATAAATTAAGTATATATTTCTGATAAAAAAAATCGTGAATTCAAATTTATTCTCAAACCAAGCGAGTAATAAATAAATAAATAAAACTCACCGAATCAGAGTGAGGGAGATAAATTGCAATTTTCAAAATCTGGAAAAGGTGCTTTGGCTAGAAGCCAAAGAAGTCATTGAATTTTTTAAAAAGTGCTTTTTTCTCACAAAAACTGACAAAAATAACAAATTAAACCAACTCCCAACCAAATTTCATTTATTCTTCTAATCTATTCTATCAGATCACCTAAAAAACCTAACTAAACCCTTCTTTCTTCCAAAATCTCTGCAACTTTATGGCGAAATCTATGGTCTACTCCCCCTTCATTCTGCAAATTCGAACCCACTCTTCAGCTACGCCTTGAAACTTCTCACTTCTCTCTCTCAGAGTGCAAGTTTTTTGAGCTTTTTTCTGGGGAAATGGAGATGAATTTGTGGGATTGCTGTGTGGAAGAGGCGCTTGCTAAGCTTGGATTGCTCCAGTTGCTCAGGTCCTTGAGACCTATCACGCCATCCCGCGAGAAACTAAATCCTGTTATTGACGAATCCCCTTCACAGGACGATGGAGAACTCGAGGTGTTCGATGAAATGCAGCCGTGGGATAGGGCCTCTGTGGAGATTGAAATTGCCGATTCCACTTTCCAGAAGTGGCTTCTTGACATTCCCAGCTCCGGTATGCTTCCTTGCTTTCGTTGTGTGGGAATGGGATGCGTTTTGCATGTTTGGATATCAATTTGTCGTTTGAAGTTCTTCAATTTGAATTGTTCATATGGTTTGTGCAGTGGGATTGTATATGATAGGAATACATTGTTTGTAAATTGCATGGTGACTGTCTCTGTTTATTTTAATACTCCATGCATGGCTTAATAACTCAAAGAAGTGCGACCATTTCAGCTGTTATGTACTGGTATGTATAAATAATTTAAAAATATTTAAATACTTATAAGATATCTATACTGTTAGAGCTAAAATTAAATAATACGGGAGTTGGAATTAAGAATTAAGAACTAAGAACTCATCCCGATCCCCACGACAACTGAAATTGCATGGGAAATAAAACATACGTGGGGTTCGGTATCATGGATTTTCAGCTCTGTTAATCTAAACCAAATAGGTAAGCCTGAAGAGAGTCCTCAAAATTTTAATTTATTCCTTTGAGAAAAAATCGACATATTATTGATCAGTGAAATTGACAGAGGAAACAAAAAAGGCCCTCCATATTGTCAAAAGGTTATTTAATTAAGCCATAATTCGTAAAAGTAAAAAGAAACATCTACACCAGCTGAGGGGTTGAACGAAAACCCTATCATGGAATCAATATTGTATGTGATCTGTGAAGATTTTCACATGGGAATTTTTGTAAATGTGAGATATTCAAAATTCAAGCCTTTGGTTTCATTATGCTTTTTACCAAAAATGAAAATTCTTGGTTTTGCTCAATTTGCCATTTTTTCCGTTTTAGAAGGATTAAAGATATTAGGCCCCAAGGGGTAACCCAGTTAGCAAGGACTTGGGATCTCTTGGTCATACTAGCTTAGAAGCTTCAAGTTCAAACCTCCTAGTGAGCTTAATACCAAAAGCTCTTGATGTCTCCCGGGATTTGGGGCGGGCGCGGTTGCCCCTGGGTGTAGGGGAGCAAAGCTCCGACTCCTAGTTATAAAAAATAATAATAATAAATAAATAAATAAAATAAAATAAAATAAAGATATTATTTCTTGACACAGCTTGAAGTGTTTCGATTATGTGACCAAAGGAAACTAAGAAATCAAACTAAACAGCTTTTACTCATCCCGTCTCACTTGAATAGCAGTGCCTTTTCTCATCTTTTAAGCATTCTGTTTTTTCATTTCAGAAAAAAAATAAAATTAAGTAGATATTTACATCAATGAAAAAAGTCAAAACAACTTTTTTACAGGGGGTGATTGTGTAGTTTGTGTGCGACTGCTGCCAACGTTCACAGGTTTTTTTTTTTTAATTAAAAGAAAAAATCAGCCTCATCTCCTTTTGACACAGAACACAAGAGTAACCTAAGTGAAAACCAAAGAGTTCTTCCTCCATTTTTCTTCCTCCAGTTAAAAAAGTTATTCTCTTGCAATTTTCTTTCTTGAGCATATAAGCCAAACAAGATTCGTAAGAGAACTTAGCTATACACAAGGTTCTCTTGGACAGGTGTATCTTGAGTTGAGGGAGGAATCTCAATTTCCCAGTGTGATGGACGCGTGTCTTTTCTTAGGACAATATTTAGACACGCATCTTGGCCCATATCAGGCTCTTGACCCTCATTTATTAATTAATAATTTACCTCTGATATTTATTATTGTTGGTTGGTCTTATAGTGTTCCTGCTTTGTCGTAATTTTTATAGTAGTTCTAACATTCCATGCACTTTAACCTCTTCTGTTGAAATTACCTTGTGCTGTAAGAAGTAAATTAAATAAAGAGTCCTAAATCTTCAATATTGGCATTCGGCTTTATAGTATTACTGGACCTTAGTTGTGGTTCTTTCATTTAATGCTCTTAGTTGGAGTGAACTACATGTTTCCTCAGAGAATTAGTCTTTCCTTTGTTTATTAGAATTTGTTTTGTTCTTATAGGAGATGAGATTGTAACCAAAGATGGTGCCATAAAAAGTCTAGTGGAACATCCTAATCAGTTCAAAAAGTTAATTCTATTTTCTGGAAATGATTATCTGGGATTAAGTTCCCATCCAACAATAGGAAGAGCAGCTGCAAAGGTGTGCTTAATGATATATGCTTCTTCAAGAAAAACCTTTTTGCCGCCATTCTACTTGTATTCCTTAACCCCTTTTTTGAAGTATCTGAAACTCAATTCTAAACCAGGCAGCCCTAGAACATAGAATGGGCCCTAGGGGTTCTGCTCTAATCTGCGGATATACCTTCCATCATAGGCTGCTGGAATCATGCCTAGCTGAGTTAAAGAAGAAAGAGGTATGTATGCTTTAATCAAATGTACTCTCATGGAATGTGTACACAGTTTGAACACAGATAAATGCTTTGCCAATTACTGATAATTCATTTCAGTGTTTACAGAACACAAGGCATAAATCTAATTTGAAAGGTCCCATAGTTATCTAAAGTTAGAGACATCAAATGTTGCTTAATGAAGCAAGACGCACTTAAACAAATAGAAGTCATAATATAGTGCAAAATTTATAAAAGGGTAATGGAAAATATGCTGATACAACACGAAACATATTGTAAGAATTAAAATCTTAAACATATTTTCTGACAGATGATAAAATATTGAGGCTAGTTTGGTAAACTAAACACAAAAATGACCAGTCTTTACTCCGCTGTGACCTTATGACCATCATGGCAAGTGCCTGCCGGAAGGTGCTCAAGCAAGGGTTGCTCCTGATGCCTCTTCTGTTGCCATAGGTGAGTCCCATGTCGGTATAAAAATACTGCTCTATTTAGCAAGTATTTTGAAAACTTCAGCATTTTGATTAGCTGTCAAAAAGTCCACTAGGACTAGAGAATGGCCATTTCTAATGTAAAATAGGAATAGTAAGGTGAATCAAAAGGTTGGAATTATCTATATACATATGGTCCGATCTAAGTAAATTCATATTATTTACTACTGAATTTTGACTATGTAACAGTACTAATTTAACTTACCAAATCGTATATGAAAAATGCTTTGGTATTGTTACTTCTGCATTCTACGTTTAACTATGTAAAGGTAGTTTCCCCATTAGTCCAATATCTATGTCTCTAGGTTTTTCGAGTGTTGCCTAACTGAAGATATATAAATTCAATGTATATATTGTACTTAGCTTATGTTTAGGCATGAACATATGCACATTTTTCTTTTACTCTGTTTGGACCATACAATATGAATTATATATTTGATTGAAGCAATTAATTAGCATCTTTACTCAACATAGTGTCCGTAATTTTCACATGTCATGGACTGTTGAAAACATATGGGTTCACTTCTATGGGAATAAGTTTGTGATTTTTGAAGGTTTAACCTTTCTGTTGCTCTTTAATATTTGATATGTACACTCAGATGTGCAATAATCTTTTAATGTTTCTAGGATTGCCTTCTTTGTCCTACTGGATTTGCAGCCAATATGGCCTTGATGGTAGCAATAGGAAATATTGGCTCGCTATTAAATGAAGGCAAAGCTTCATCTGAAGATCAGAAGATTGCCATATTTTCTGATTCACTGAATCATGCATCTATTATTGATGGCATTCGTCTTGCGGAGCGACAAAAAAATGTGAAACTGTTCATCTATAGGCATTGTGATATGGCTCATCTTAATGCTTTACTGTATGTCTCTTTTTACCTTTAGCTTTTTTGTCCATATGTTATTTGGATCTACTCAGATGCCTTATTCCTGCTTTCCAAGTTATAACTGCCTCTTTTGTTTGCAGATCGAGTTGCACAGTTACAAAGAAAGTTGTCGTAACTGATAGGTTGGTGCCGTTTTACAAGTAGATTTTTCAGTTCTAACTTTTCTCTCTCTCTCTCTCTCTTTCCATTTTCCTGGCTATATGAAGGCCACCAACAAAATTTAGCTGCTCCAGTATGCGTACTTTGATGATTTGTAATATGTGCGTGTGTTTCTGAAATAGAGAAATATAAAACTTTTCGTTGATATAGTGAACACAGTCAATATCCTTAGGAGCTTACATAAAACACACTCCGATTTGGGTTAATTACATGAGGAATATATAACAAAACAATTTCTCTTAAGGGAACCAATTAGATGCATCGACAGAACCCCCTTCCTTTCTCGTGCTTTCCCTAGAGGCTCTTGCCTCATTGAGAACAAAACCTTTGAAATTACTATAAAGGACAAGAGGCTATTGGACTTTTATAACTAATACATTTACATCAATAGACAATATAATATATGCTATAGCACTTGTTAATGCTGCCCACCAGCAAGCATGGATGTTAAATCATAACTATCATTTGGATTTTGGAGTCAATTTAACCTTGTTTTACAACTCATGCATGTTGACATTGGTCAGTGATCTTCACTCCAGATATAAAACAATTTTCCAGGGATGATGTTCCATTGGTCAAATAGAAGCAACTGTTTCATTAGCTTTGTATTTGCTGGTCTCCAACTTGGCGATTGTGCTACTTGATCTAATCTTATGCCTCTTATAACATCTTCCTTATCTTTCTACTAATTAATGAATTTATTAGATTCAACTTTTTCCCTTTATCCTAACTACAAATGTGAAATCGGTGTTTGACATGTTTTCTATTCATAACACAGCTTGTTTAGCATGGATGGAGACTTTGCGCCCATGAGGGAACTAGCAAAGCTTCGAAAGAAGCATGGATTTTTGTTAGTTATTGATGATGTAAGTTTCATGAACTCATTGGTAGATTTATAAATTATTTGAAGCTGTTTTTAAGAGAATATGATGTGCTTTTGGCAATTTTTTGTTGCCGTCAATTCCATCTCTGATACTAGGTGTATTCCATCTTTGGCATTCTTTTCATGTCTTCCGCATTTGGTTAGTTTGTTGGTTTGAGCTTCCTCATTAGGTGTAATATGCACTGTTCAGAGTCAAAAGCTTAATTTATGTGAGAAGTATATATCTAAGAACTATTGTTCATGCAAATGCCAGGCTCATGGAACATTTGTTTGTGGCAAAAATGGCGGGGGCGTAGCCGAGAAGTTCAATTGTGAAAGAGATGTTGACATATGTGTTGGCACCTTGAGCAAGGCAGCAGGGTGTTTTGGTGGGTTCATAGCATGCAGGTAATAGTTGGTATTTCATTCATTAAATTAAATTTGGCTCACTTTTAGAAAGCCTAATATTTAATTTCAGGTGCAATGATTGATGGTAACAATCTACTTAGTGGCTATCAAAATGCCCCAGGAGTCCATGACCTAATGTTTACTTTCCCTATGAAAGTATAATCTCGGTTTACTATGTTTTTTGTTTAATCAGAGAAAGTGATAATTCCACTTAGCCTGCTTTGCATCTACCTGTTTAGGTGTTTGTGCTCTGTTCCCCCAATGTATATAACATGCAGCACATTCCTATGATTCTTTTCCATAATTTTGGAAAATTAATTTTGATTGGCTTTATGATTTTCTTCCTTCGACGCGAGCAGCAAAAGGTGGAAATTGCTCATTCAATCAAGGGGCCGATCCTTTATATTTTCAACTGCTGCACCCATCCCCCTTATTGCTGCTGGCCATGGTAGAGTAGATTTGTTATCATTCCAAAGACTTAACACTAACAATATACTAATACATGCAATCTGCTGAAAGAGACTCTTAATGCAAATTGCTTAATCTTATCATTTATCCATTTTGAAACTATATGTTCCTAATTAGAGCATATATTAGCAGCTGCTGTCTTGGTGGCAAAGAGGGAAATGTGGCGAAGAATGGAAATTTGGAATCGGGTCCAAGATTTCCGTGACTTGACTGGAATCCCCATCCAAAGTCCCATAATATCTCTTATCGTAGGGAGTGAAGGGAAGGCATTGAAAGCCAGCAGGTGCTACATCTCCCTTTCTATGCAATTAGATTTATCGTTTCAACAGTATGCACTCATAGTAGTACTGTTGTTGTTATGTTTTTTATTGGGGAACAGGCATTTGCTAAAATCTGGTTTCCACGTGACTGCCATAAGACCTCCTACAGTTCCAGCCAACTCTTGCAGGTTGACCATTTTCTTTTCCATCTTTTACAATATTGATTCTTGGAAATTTTTCTTGATCTCCTGACAATTTTCATCTGGAATTTACTCCGCATCACCCTGTTCTTAAACTTCGGCATATGTTATTGTTCATTTCTTAAGGTGGATATATTTCTGCATTCTTATTTTGATCCCTTGGTTCTTGAAGTTACGAGAATTAACATCTCTGTTTCTTGCAATGATCTCTGAATATCTTGCTGTATTAAAATGCATTCTTATTTCAAAATGGAGCTGCTTTCTTTGAGAGTAAGCAGACTCTTCCGACCCTCATGCTTCCTCTGCCCATACTCCACGCCACTAGTCACATAGAAACTAATTAAATCTCCATTGAGAAGTTATGATGATAAATGTAAGTTTGAAGTCACAATTCTAGAAATAATGCATTATTAGTCAGCATGGTTAATAACTTAAAACCCGTCCCCGGAAGCTAACCATAGGTGGGTAAAGACTCTATAGGGACTAGTGGCATGGGCCATGAGCATAATGTAAGGAATTGGATCTCGATACTTGATTATCCCAAAAAAGAAGATAGTAACTAATACCGGTAGTATGAACTTCTGGACTAGTCAAGTTTCTGAGTATGAAATATAAAACCTTTACTTGGTGAATTGTTCTTGTACATTAGTTCTTTTAATGGATGTGAATTACTGAGTTGTCGTGTCATCTTCGAACTCCCATCTCAGGCTTCGGGTGACCTTGAGCGCAACGCATACGAGAGAAGATGTGAAGAAGCTGACCAGCGCACTCTCGCAATGCATCAGTTTCCAGGATATTGCTATTAATGGTGCAAATGGGTATGCAAGATTATAGGTGTTGATTTCTTTAGCTCTCTCACAGAGTTCCCTTGATTGTTAAGGGAAATTTTGGAAACTCTCCAATATTTCATCCATCATGGGGCCATGCAAGATTTTGCTTGTTACAGTTCCACAATTGTTTAAGCACATTGATTATTTCATTCTAAAAGACAAAAGAAGGGATAGGTCTGTCAATTTTGGCTATCAGAAGCTCAAATTTTGCATCTATTTGAAGTTAGATCAGTGCAAGCACCACAGTAATAGCATACATTTTGTTATAGAATGGAATTATAGTTTTTTTAGTCAAATTGGAAAAGAAATTTAAATCTTAATCCATTGCATTTAGCCATTGAAGAGGCTATAAAGTAAATACAAACAAATAACTGCCTAGGTTTCATCCAAAAATAGATAAATAAATAGTAAAAGAAAATGTCAAAAGTATAGCTTAAGGATTAATACATTTACTAATTCTTAAATTTGAGAGAATATTTTGCCATATTCAAATATGTGCAACTAGGTCTACTTGTATAGGAAAAAGTCTGCTTGTATAGGAAAAAGTCTGGTTACACTATAAGAGAAAAATAAGACTTTTTTTTTAAGGGAGAAAAATAAGACAAATTTAACACAAGGACCAAATTTGACTTGTATTAACACAAATATTAGTAATTCCAACAATAATACATTTGTAATGAATATAATAAAGAAGGAAAATATAAATTTTAGCATTGAACTTAACAAGATATTTTAATTTTTACCATGAATTCAAATTACATCTTAGACTATGATAAGTGTTGCAATCATTTACCTTATCTTTTAAAAGATGTTATAATTTGTACACTCTAATAAATTTTCGTTTGAGAGATTGTTAAAAAATATATATATTTAGTCTGAAATTGATATGACTACAAAAAGGACATTACGTCTTTTTTTTAGAAAGTTTGTAAATTTTGACGGAATTATTTAATGGTTGATGTTATGCATAATCAAATTTATTTTTGTATAAAGCTTGATTTCTATTAAATTAGTGAATATTTGAGGTTCTTTATAATATATTTTTTAAAAAAACTAGTTGATGAATGAGTGGAAATTAAATAAAATTAAAAAATAATAATATTTATCTATCGTTCATTTTAAAAATTGAAAGTTAAAAGTAAAAATTTATGGACTGGATTATTTTTTAGTCTATAATATATAGTTTAATAAGTTAGATTATGTCTGGTTGACTAATGTGTCCCGCGGTGAACATGAAAAAGATAATTTGTTTCTTATAATTAGAAGGTTTAAAAGGATGCCCTTCTCACTTTCTAAGAATTAGGCAATGTAGAAGGGCTCCTAAAACATACCCATATCGTTTTAGCTTATGTTGTCTATACTCACAATATATATTTTTTAGTCTGGTAGGATGAAGATCAAACAATTAATCTTTCTTATCTATTTAACTATTGTTAGGATTGATGATCCATTGAAAAATAATATCTTAAAAGCCACTCTCAATTCCCTATTCATTATCAAACGGAACCACTGTAAAATTAGTGTATTCTTCTCTTTATATTATATCATTGTGAATGGATCTATCTTCATACTTGTACTGGGAAGTTAGTTGCTTTGGTCAGATGTTAACAAATACCATTGCAATACCCCATCATATAATCACCATTCCTTAAAATCCATGTTTGTCAATTTGGGTCCTACAGCACTGTAATTATACTCATATCGTATACCACCCATTTTCCCCCCAAAACAAGTAACCCCTCCAATCATATACTGCCTAAAAAAAGTTAGCCTGATATAAAATAAAACTATATTTTAAGCCCTAAACTCCATGTTAAAGTAAAGAAAGTCAAATATCACTCACTTTCAGAAAATGGGTCCAGCTCCAGAGATGATTTGGAGTTGGCAAGATCCAGCAACCACTTGTCTCTCATTAACAACCACGAAGGAGTGGAGGAAGCAGAGCCCGAGCATTCCTTCCCTTCAACACCTTCATTCTCCTGGTTTCCAGATACAAGCTGCATTGCATACACACAAATTAAAAGTGGAGAGGAAATCAAAGTAGAGATTTATGTCAGTTACTTCAAATAATTTTCTCAACACTTCAATGGTGAAAAGAAAAAGGGAGGAGGAATGAGAGATGCATACATTTGGCAAATCATGGCAGGCAGAGGCATTAGAATGCCTTCTTTGGTAGGTCAGAGTCCCACAAAATGCAAGGTCGCAATGTTGGGTATGAGGCTGAGGAATCTCATTAAGGTTGATGAGATTGGGCCTTCTGGTGAGAGTGGTGAGGGTGGTGCTGAGTGGACGCCTGGCCAATGGCTTAACAGGGGATGTGGGGTGGGCTCCATTTTGGGGCAACGGTGAGAGGCGTGGTGCGGCCGTGGTTGATGAAGCTGAAGGTGGGGTTGGGACCACCAGTGGGTCATCCTGCAGCTGCACCATAGAATGAGGAGACATTGCCATATTTGGCCATAGAAACGTACCCTGTGGCTTGCAAATTCTGAACCCACTCTTTAGCCTTCGAATCCTTTCCGCCTTGTCCTCTGTTTTTGCGACCGTATATCCCATATTTCCCTCCTCCATTTGTTTTGTTGCTGCTCTTTCTTCCTGCTTTGTCCCTCTTTTAGTATCTGACTTTGTCGGTGGCGGGGGTGATGATGGCCTTAATAATGGGGATGGTGGCTCTAATTCTGACATGTTTTGATCCTCAAGGGCTTTTGATCTTAGAATCCTTGTCGTCTCCTGCATTAAACATTAGTCATTAATGCCAATGCAATTGTTCATGCATTAATTAAAGCCATTCCCAACAGCGATCTGAGTAAAACATTCGATCCCTAAATTATGATCTTAATGATTATTTACCAAGTTCTCGGGTGATACTGTATATGCCAAATTGGTGCTTCTTTCCAAATTTAACGTTTCTTATTTCCAACTGACAGACGAGAAGTGCAGTTAAAAGAATTTAAAACATTTGTTTTTCTTTATTGTTTTACACAATAACTTGTTATTTTAAGCATGAATCTACTTTAAATTATTAAACATTTTCATTAATATTATCTAAATAAATGTGTACTGTGATTGCAACAATTCATTCAATATATATCAAATAATTTGGCTTGTCCAACCCCTGACACGTGGAACTCCAGCCCAGCTACGTTATAATTTCCCTAGGCAAGCTTTGTTCTCTAAAATAAATAGCCTTTGTATGAATAGTGATATACAATTAGTTCGTGTTTCTCCGAGGGGGTGTGTTAAAGCAGCAGTGTACACTTGTGTATTTCTGTTGTAAAGCTAACTTCATAATTTCCTGTTCATTAGACTCCTGTTTAATGTAATAAAAACAAAAAGAAAAAACCGAGATTTGTCCCAGTTATTTTTTAGGACGAAATTAATTTACCACATGATTTCTATCCTAAACGTGGTTCAAGCAGATTTAATCAAAACAAAAATGTATAAAGGTTTCGCGTATGCAGGTTACCTCCATTCCGCGCAGTGATTGTGAAATTTCCACAAGCTGTTCCTCGATTATGGCTTTTCTATTCAACAATTCGTTGTAGAACTCCTGTCAGTGAGCATATGAAGTGAAATAAGTATGAACAGTTGGACCCTGCAAGAACTAAATTCGTTCGTTTTCAAAATCCTCACCTTTAATGCAGTGAAGGAAAGTTTTTCATGGTCCAGACTCATAGATGTAACATTGGAATTCGGTTGAGTCACGATAGTTAAATCTTGTTGCTTCCCAGATGTCCGTTCTTGTTCTTGTATGTATCTGTTCAATTTACCCGATGAAGCAGCGCGATAAATTTCAAGGCCAATATTCCGGGAAAAGAAAACAGACAGAATATTAGATGCTCTAACGAGAAATTAAAAAAAAAAAAGAATTTTAAACATTTATATAGTGATTATTAGAGGCAGTCACATCCCATATCTATTAATTTTTCTTCAGCCAGCGACTCCAATGAGAACTTGGGGAAAAATATCACGATCTCTCGAAGCAAAGGAAATTGACCATCCACATATATGAAAAACCGTAAAAGAGAGGAAAAGAAATTACTTCTTGATTTGGGCAATCTCATCGTGGAGCAGCTTGATCTCCCCGGCACAAATGGGATCCTGGCTAGGGTTGTCGCCCAGCTTCCAACCAGGCGGCGGTGTCCAATATGGATCCTGCACTCCAGCCTCCCTCCTGATATTTATCAGATCAGCACTCTCCAGCCAATATTCCATTGCGCCATCGGCATTATGTCGGCGTCGGAATCTGTCAGCTCCACCCGGTGCCACCTTTCCGGCCATGTGCTTCAGTAGATGGTCCAGCAAACCCGTATCACCAATCAGCTTTCGGGCTTCAGCTCTCAGGGCTGGTCTTAGTATTGGGTTCCCAAAGACTGCTCCTTTGGCCTTCATAATCTTCAGCATGTTCTCCTCGGCCAATTTATATCTTCAATATTAATGAAATGACAGAGCAACCCATTAAGAGATGATTAGACTAACTCAACTATTGTTTCAAAAGTAAAACGAGTAAATTTTCGAATGTGGTTAGGGTTTCTCACCTCTCCACGGACCATCTATCAATTGATTTCTTCAGTTCTTTTTTCCTCCCAATATTACGAAGTTTTGGCCCATTTTTCTTTTCGGGAGTTGCATTCTTGAGATTTTTCTGAACGTTTCTAGGGCCATAGCGCTTCCTTTTATGGTTGTCTCGTTTCCCGTATGAGTCTTCGACCTTAAGTACTTCTTCCTCATCCTCCTGATCTGTTTTCTTTTCCTCTTCCCCTAAACTCTCCTTTTTTGCTTCTTCTTGTTCAATTGATCTCGACAAAGCTACAATCTTTTTGTCTTCGTGGCGACCTATGTATTGAACTTGCCGCCGGCTACCCCACTGGACCATCCCAGTAAACTTGAGTTCGGACCAGCAAATCCCCTTTTTAGAAACTGCATTGTTGGGCTCCCCACCAGAAGCGGAGATTTGATCTATCTCAGCGTTCTCCGACGTCGGTGCAGTCCAAAAGCTCCATGAGTTCCTTCTATCTGCAATTTCTGTAGCTGGTATTCTCCGGCAGATTACGTCTCCAGCAACGTTTGAACTCATTATATACTTCTCGTTTAGACCTGGGAGCTCCTTTCCATTTGGATTCTCGCGGTTACGAAAATGTGTGCGAAGAGAGTAAACACTTGGGTATCTCAAGGATACATTGTCTTCATCCTTGTCACTAACCTGCGTCATAAAAATGAGAAAGAACGAAAACCCCATGAAATTTTATGCCCAGATCGAATTCTATGAACCATAAATATGGTTTTTGTGAAGTTGGTTAAAATACCATGACTATCCGGATTGCCCTTAGTTGTTCTGGGGTAGTAGGTGAGAGCTTCGAGTGGTCTATTTCATAGAAAGACCCCACTTTTATTTGCTCCAAGTAACCCTCTGATTCACAAAAGCCAAATGGGAAGAAGATGAGTCTCACCTATCGGAACGTTGCCATAGTGACGCATAGACATAAATTTAAACCAAAGGCAGGGGGCAAAATGGGGACAAAAATATGAAAGTTTGGAAGCAAAAGGAGAGGAGGTTGCTGTCGTTACCAGCGGTACAACTCGGGGTAGCCACTGCTAAAGATGGTGGCAGTGCATGTCTGGCTGAAGCAGGGCTTTGTGCGCCGTCTACGGAGCTATGTTCCTGCATTTCCTTCAAGTACATCGCCAATTCCATATCCTGCTCAACCCAGAACACAATGTTTAGAAAAAAACCCCAATGTTCATTTGTAGCAAAAATAAACTAGCTACACATATCGATTACTAATATTATTATCACACCCAAAAACCCTCTCTTCCAATGCAATGACAAGGAAACAATCCCGATCCCTCCTCCAAATGCAATAACCCCAGAGAAATTACAAGTATAAAACGGTTATTTTATCATAGTAACAAACCCACAAAACTCCCTCACAAAAAAGGTTTTGAAAGAGGGATTTCGCATTATCGGTAGTTACGTGCATGCGATTTCGTAATCTCATCATGACCCGTATTTTGCCTTTTAGCTGCGACACGTACACGAACGCAGAAAAGCAATTAATTTCAGAAAGCAAACATCCTTTTTGGGGACATAAAAGCATGTGCATTAATTACGCTGTTTCTTTTTTCTTCTTCTTCTTCTTCTTTCTTTTTAATGGAATGCTCCCTATCCTTTTTCTTTTCTTTTTTTTTCCTTGTGGAAGGAAAATGATTCCTATCTTATGCGAAAAAAATCATGTCACAGTTCGATTGGAGTAAATTTATTCAGCATAATTGAGAAAATTGTACTAAAAAAAACTTTTATTAGAAAAAAGGAATGTGGACATCACGAATATGAAAGCGCGTGGGGTTGCTAGTTGGGTAAGATAGGAATATATACAGTTAGTGTCTTAGTATTATAGAGAGAGAGATGGTGCTAACTTCAGCTGCATCATCAAGTTTGCAGGAGCTTGCGTCCATAATTATAAACACCTGAAAAACTGTACATATAACGATTTGTTAACAATGGAATCAATAAAGTAAGAATTAAAACAAAATAGTGAACCTGAAAAAAAACAACCAAAAACTGAATAACGGAAAGATCATTTTGGGGAACTTGATATTTTGTTAATTTATCAATATGAATAAAAGAAATAAATATGGCAAGAACTCCAAGGATTTTCCTCAAACCGAAAAGAGTCAGTTTATGCTTAAGAAAAAGAAATCGTGAACAAATCGCCGAAAAAGTTGGAGAGAGAAATTGCTTCTGGTGCTTCGTCCAATACAAAAGGCTTTTTTAATTTCATAAACGGAAACGAGATTAATATTGCGGCTACGAGAAAAAGGTTACAAGCACCGAAATGGCAATATTTTCAGACCCTGAAATTCAGAGACAAAATGCAGAGATACAGAAACAGGACAACAACGGGAGAGAATTAATCCAAATAGCGACTAGAGCGAGACTCACTGGGTTGACCAGAACGATGGTTGAAATATGTAACTAAAACGAAACAGAAAAACCAAAGTGAAAATAAGTACAGCAGCAAATTAGGCCAAAAGATATCTGATCTCTTCGGGGAAATTTTCACGATTCTATCTATATTTGTAACTTTGAACTGATCGAAAAAAGGATGAATCGATCAGAATCAGAATCACACACTATGAGAAACAAAATGGATACTAACAATCGACTCAAACTATTTCCCGCGGAAAAAAAAATAGTGATCGACGGTTGAGCCATAAACAAAAATGTAACCATCATTTTCATGTGTTAGTTCTTGAAAAGTAGAAGAGAAATGCGGAAAATAATATTCATAAGCAGCAAGTCGAGGTTGATGAAAAACAGAGAGATCAGAGAGAAGCGCACTTCAAATACGAAAAGTACAATGAGAGAGATCAGCAGCGGTAGTACTAAAGACTTCCATGGATCCAAAACAAGAACTAAACAAACAGCTATTCACTTAAAAAAAAGCAAAAAAGCAAAAAAAAATCGTCCAGAAGAGATTAGATGATTAAGTTATTGCAGACTCATACACACATATATATATCGATGAATCAGAAATTACAATAAGAAGAGGATTTTAGAGGAGAGAATTAATTGAAGAATTACCTTAATCGTGAGAGGGAGCTTGGAGGAGAAATGGAGAGAAATCTGAGTTCTTCTGCATGAAAAGAGAAACCATTAATGGAGCGAGAGCAATTTTTATAGAATAGGGGAAGGAGAGGGAGGAGAAGGACGTGTTGCACTTGCACCTCACGTGACCTTCTTCTCCACTTCCTGATGCTGGTCCGTGGTCCCCACCCCCAAGAGACTGTTAAAAATTAAACTATTCTTAAATTACCGTTTTACCGCCGAGCGGTGTTTTTACCAATCGTACCCCTGTAAGGGTAGGGAGAGGTGGAGATTGGAGAAGGAGATTTGTGTTTTTTATTTTTTTTAATTTCTTTTAAATGTTTCCACCAATAAGGTATTACCGCGTACGTGGCTAGTTATTATTGGTTGTCATCGTTTTAAGGTATTGAACTCTTTAACTTTTCTCAGTTTATTGTATTTCCTTAATTTACTCAATGTAAATGAATTTGAAAACTCAAAAATATATACATACATGATAATTATTTTAAGTTTTTTTTTTCTTTTTTGTTATTATATTTAGTTTTAGGTTTACATACTATTTGAATCTTTGTAGGTTTGGTTTCAGTTCATTTTTGTCCTTTAATTTTGCTTTCAAAACGTTTATTTTGACTTCTAATCTTTTAATTTTTATTTATTTTATTACATATACTTTCGAAACATTCATTTGGGTCCTTTTATTATATTTTTGTCTCATTTATTTTTATTATAATTTTAGCATAATATTTCATTTACTAAACTTCATGAAATGTAGTCATAAATTTTGTATTAGAGAGGGTTCTATCATATAAAATTTATGTTAAAAATTTCCAAATGAAGATCAAATTAATCACTTTTTCAAATTACGATAACCAAAACAAACGTTTTGAAAGTATAAGAACTAAAATAAACAAAATTGAAATTACATGAACCAAAATTAATTATTTGAAAATATATAGATCAAAATCAACCAAAATAAAAAATATATTGAACAAAATACTACTTAAACCTTAATTTTAAAATGTTTAGCTTTATTTTGAAAATAGGTCGGATATAAACAAGGTGGGCCGCGAAAAAACATATGACTTATGATACACGTATACATAAACTCAAATGCTATGCAAGAAAATGGGAGTTGAGAGAACAAAAAATAGAATTAAACCTAAAAATAGTGAAATTAATTAATGTCTTATGTTATAATTTTAATCATATCTCTTTGACTTCTTCAATACTTTTATCATTATTATTATATGAAATAAAATATATTTGTTTTTTTTTTCAATTCTTTTATTACTGTTACTCATATATATATATATATATATATATATAGTTTAAAGTAATAATCTTATATTCCCCTTTCTATGTGAAGAAAAAATACCATTCGATAAAATTAAAAAGTTCAAAACTATTCACGATAAACACGGATTCTTCTCTAAATTTGTAAAACTCATTCCCCATACTTGTGAGAACTTAGAAATTTAAAAGTATATAATAATATAAAAAAATTGATTATAGCATATTTAAATTATATCTCTACTTTTCCTTCAAATTATTATTTGTATCATAATATTAGATCCCCATCCACATTCTCACATGTCCATAAGTTCGACGTCAATATAAAAGGTGAATCGACATTTCTATTATATCTTGAAAAGTTGACAAAATATTTATAAAAAAATATATCAACAAATTTTCTTAATTTTGACATAATATTAATAATAAGAATTTTTAACTTATTTAGAAAATGGTACGAGACTCATTTATTTTTTTAATTTCACACCTGATGCTACTATATTTGATTGTCTAGATTATGTAATTCGTAAGATATTAAATCCTAAATAGGTAGCCACCATAGTTTGACCTCATTCAAGCCTTATGTTATTTATATGACCCTTATTGATCACTAGCCATATGGTTAGAAACTAAAAATCTCTTGCAAAAGCATATTAATTATTAGCAACAATACAATTCAAATTGATAGATACTTTATTCAAAGCACATGTTTCATAGGCTTCCACTTCATAAAGTCATAACCGAAACTGTTCAAAGAGATTATTTTCCATATCAACAGCATAAACCAACTTGAAACCTATTACTACAACACTTCTTTCCAAAGACAGTATTTTTAAGGTATAAGCACAACTGACCCAGATGTTTTTTCGACCCTCGAGGTCAGCATGGGCCTGCGCAGCTTGAGATAAAGGGTATGTATGATTCACACGAACCCGTAAAACACCAGATTCAATGTTTGTAAATACCTCTTGAGCAGCCTCCACCAGCTCGTCCCGGGTTGCGGTATATTGCATAAGGGAAGGCCTCGTTAAGAACAGAGACTTCGCTGCGAGTGCAGAGAGTGGAACTGGGTCTGGAGTACCTGATGATTGTCCAAAATTCACCATGTAGCCGCGAGTTTTCAAACATGCCAATGATCCCTGTTCATGAAAAAAATCATGAATGAGGCTTAACTCTTCCAAGAAACAATCCAGTTACTTAGATTACAACTAAAATCAGTTCATCCCAATACAGGTCTGTTCATGTTGGCTACCTGCAACTCAATTTTAGATCAGTTCATGTCGGCTAAATCAGTTAGTCTTCTAGTTATTAGAGAAAAGAAAATTAGTAAATTACCCTAACTAAAGATTCTATTATTTCTCTCAAGTCTCAATCCACATCCCCACAAAATAGCAAAGAAATAAGTCTGCCATATAAATCTTCCCTTATCCAGAAAAGGAGGGAACAACAGAACCTCCTCCATTAGAGCCCGATGATAGTTCCTGTTATGAACCCACGACACTCCAAACAGCTAAAAGAAAATTTGCGCTAACTTGTGAACTAATAAAATTTACTAAGAGACAGTTTATCCTTCCACATTTCACCATATCATCTAAAGCTGTGAAAGAAATACAGAAGTGTGTGATAAGAACACAGTCGCAATATGCCAATGGTCTAGAAATAGAGAGGCAATCTAGACAGGTCCTCAAACTTTCAAGAAGGTTGAGCCTCTCCCCACAATATACATAACTTCAGTGCCCTTCCCCTCCATTCCCCATCATACTTTAATACTAGTAGTCATATTATAAAAACACGCCCCAGCTACCATGCGAAAGCCCTTACAAAAACGCACCCACATGAGTGATTTACAGACTCCTCAGTCCTCAACAAACTCATGGCCAAATCATCTCGTTACGTCACTTATGCTCACTCGACTTTCTCCTAGCTTAAGTGAACCAGATTGGGGGCTTGTTCTTCTCATTGGTGTGGCAGGTAATTTTAGACCTGAAATATTAGTGAAACTTCAGCCATGGAAGAAACCTGATGCCCCGACCCGTGGCCCAAACTACAGCTTTGGACCAACATTAGATGGGCAACATAGCTGAGCAGTTATTTGATTAGAAGATGGGCAGTTTATAAAGAAGCTATCAGACTATGTGTTCAGTTTATTAGTTCTGTTTTTGTTAGTGTTTAGTTACAAGTTGTTTTATTCACTTTCTCTCTCCCACACGTGTATATACTTTAACCATGTGGTCAATAATATTAAGCAGAGAGTCTTTTTATTCCCATTACGTCTTATAGAAGCAGTATCAAAGAATTGCTGAATCCTTCAGAAGTTAGCAAAGACATGTTTCCTTGCAAGTCACAACAACCTAGAGTTTGTGTAAGAGTACGTAAAAAAGAAAAGAAAAGAGATGAAAAGTACAATAAATACCTCGAAGGTATCCTTTCCTACAGAGTCATAAACAACATCAACTCCATTTCCGCCAGTTATCTCATTAACACGAGCAACAAAATCCTCTTCCTTAAATATAATAACATGATGGCATCCATCCTCCTTAGCTTGAGCTGCCTTCTCTTTGGTTGAGACAATACCAAAGGCTGTTAGCCCACTGGCACAACAGGGACCCAACTCCACCAGCTGCTGCATGAACGAGTACAATATGTCCAGGTTCAACCTGAAGAGAATATCAGGCGAAATCTTCTTGGTCATAAAAACATTTCCAATGCTGGGACATTGTATGTTGGAAAGCCAAGATTGCCAAGTTAGAAACTTAAAATTTCCCAAAATTCAAAGTTCAGTAAATGGATGTAATTGCATGAAGAAATTACGTGATATAAAAATTTTCTAAGCAATTTTTTTTCCCCTGATATTTAAGCAATTGTTACTTGCAGTCTGATTTATTACTCTCCTATTTGATGTCACATTTAAGGACCGCTTTTAAATAATATAAGAAGATACCATATTCCTTTCCATTCACATCCAACCCAAATGAAGTTAGTTGGTCTAGAAAAGTTCAAATAAATCATAATTTCACCTTTCATATGGATCAGGATTATTAAACACCATTTCTCTCCCCTTATGTATACAACACATTCATGTAAAGTGGATGGAAAAATCATACTCGACAATGTCGTGAGTTCGTCACAGGCATAAGCATTATAATGATAGACTACCTGTCATCAAAGTCATGGAATGATACACATGTACAGTCAATCTAACATCTGAAAATAAATATTGCAAAACTCAACCAACCTTGTAACAACGACGGAGTAGAAAATGAGCGGTCATACCCTTCAGAATGACAGATGCTGCAACTGTTGGATCAATTGAGGGAGGAAATGGAACAACTTTGTCAGCTGGAAGTACCTGTTCTTCAGAATATGAGCCCATTGGATTCCCAGCATAAGCAACAAGATCCCCAACTTTCCTGTCGTTTACTCCATGACCCACAGCCATCACCACCCCAGCAGCTTCCATGCCTGCATTGTAAATTATTTTTTAATAACGTGGCACGTAAAATAAAGGTCACTTCTGCATTCCAGTTGAGTATCAGCCAAGTATTAACTACACAATATAAATTTATAAAGAAGAGAAAAAATGGTAGCTCTCAGAATAGAATACAAAATCTTAAAAATAACAGGGCAATATTTAGAACTTTTGAATTTCAGCCTTGCCATTCCATTTTGAGCCCCCAAGGACCCTAACTTATTCCACACATTTCAAGCGTGAAAGAATTAAACAAGTTTGAGAGCCGATGTGATATTGTTTATCTTCCAAAATCCAAACCTATGGTAAGCAATGTGGAAAACATCTAATCTACGGAATGAAACGTCAATACCATTGTTAACGCACAGCCCTCAATTCAACCAATTTCATACAAAAGTCTATTTCTATCACAGACTGGTACTTGTACTGTTTTAGACAAAACACAGTAAAAGGTTGTACCAGGAAGGGTAAAAAAAAGAAATCAAAAGGACTCCAACTACCTACACAAAGAGAACAATATCTCAACATGTTAACCAAAGCCTTCAAACTCCACAGACAGTTATTAATCACCTAATGCTGGAGGAAAATAACATGCCATTAAAGAAACCTTATTCAGAGTCCATAATCTTCCAATTAACTTAAAGAAGAGAACAGAACCTGGAGTAAATGGCAGCGTAACCTTATATACTCCTTTTCTGAAGTATACATCAATAAAATTTAGACCAATCGCCTTGTTTCTGACTCGAACCTCACCCTCCTTTGGCTCTGCAATATCCACATCCTCCCATTTGAGAACCTGTTGCCATTATTTTCAATAATAAATCCAACGAGAAAGCAAGCAATGGCTGCAGAGTAATGAATATGAGAGAGCCGAAGCAAAAATGTTCAAGCCATCCCACTACTAAATCAATTCTAGTGTAGGTATTTTGCAGAATTCCTATAAATCCGTGCCCAACAGAAGGAAAACAATCGAATACTGAATCAAAAGCGCAGAAAATACGGGCAAACCTCAGGCCCACCAAGTTCATGGACCCTTATGGCCTTGACCATTTCTGGGGCCGAAGAAATTGCCCTCGCTATGAAATTTTCAGTCCCGTGCTTCGAATGGTAGCGAGGAGTCGTAAACGAGCAATTGCTAGGCGGTGGAAATCGGTGGAAATCGGTGAGTCTAGAAGAGAGAAGAAGACGAAGATCGCACTGGAAGCTGGTTCTGAGTAACAACATCAATGGCCGATTGAATGGACTGACGGAAGCAAATTTGAACAGCAATGGAGCTGAAACTAGTATTCAATTCAATTTGATGTAACATAGTAAAAAAACGATCATTTTTTTTTACCTTGTGCGTGCTTGATTTAGCTTCTCAATTTGAAGTGTTAAAAAAACACATTTGGTGGTGTATTTCATTTGAATATAGTTTTAAATGAGTAACAATTTAGCCTTGACAATTTATTTAAAATGTGCAATAATTTCTTGTAAAAAAAAAAAAGTGTAATAATTTAGTAAAAATCTCATCAAAATTAAATATCTATTTTTTCATAACTTCTTAATCCTTGTAATTTATAGGTTTAAATACTATTTTGGTTCATGTACTTCCAATAAGTATTTTTACAATGTCTGGTTTGGTCTCTATACTTTAAAAAGTGATAATTTTTGTCCATTAATTTATTTTCTATCACAATTTCAATACGATAGTCACTCATGTACTTCTTAAAAGGTAAGCACTTTCATTTTTTTTTTCTTTTAATACAATAATATGTGAGGGTGGAGATTCGAACTCACATCATTTTGATCGGAGATTGATGCCTAAACTAATTGAGTTAAGTTGATGTCGAGGGAAGTGTGAGCAATGATATATGAATACCTTTTTAGACATTAATATATTTAGTCGTGTCAATGCTTTTAGATTTGAGTTGGACATTAATGGTTGGTTTAATGGGTGTAGTTAATAAATAAAAAAAAAAGGATTTCAAATTATTAATTGCATTTAAAACTAAATTAATTCTAAATCATTGAAACTTTATAAGAGAATATAACATGTATTTATTATATTAAGAAAAACCTAAAAATCCTATGATAAAAGATTATATATACAAGGTATCATAATCAGTATCTTAATAGCACATATCATTCAAACATAGAAATGATGAGGATCCATTGGTATTTTTATTAGAATAAAAGAAAACAACAAAGAAGACACAACCAAGCAAAATAGAAAACTATTGAATCTCTTAATTAACAACCTGCGTAGATGAAATTACCATCGTATGCTTACAAAGTTGCACTAAGATTATATGGGTCGAGTGATGAGCCTACGTTTTAATTTAAAATAAATTAAAATTTATCCCAAACATAATTTCAAATTATTTTTGGAAACGATCTCAAAATCTATATATTTCAAATTTGGGGTTCCAAACAAGGATAAGCCAATAATCATTTTTTTTTAATTTAGTTTATAAGCACTACTTCTACTTTGTTTGTTATCTATTTTTGTTTTTAGAATTTGTCTATTAGTTCAAATATGTTTGTAAGAATGATGAATAACATATCAAATAAATTCATCAAAATTAAACATAGATATAAAAAATGAAAAATAAAAAATAAATAATGGTTATCAAATGTTGTTGAGTTTTGGCACTCTTTTACCATGTTTAATTTCTAAGTTAAAAGTATTTTCATGGTTTAGTCGGGATATTTTTGTTGCTTGATCTCGACTGTTTTTCATACTGAGTTTTGTATGATTTCGTAGTTTTTTTTTTTTTTTTTAGCATTATGATTTTGTAGTTAGTTCATGAGAAATCTTCTAATTTAAATTGTACCCACTTATTTAAATTTAGAGCATAATCTGATATAATTGAAAATTGAAAGTTTAGGTTAATATTGATAAAATAAGTACAAGAATAAAAATGAGTTTTATTGAGATTATTTTGAATTAATAAAATCCTATTAGTCATTTTTATAAGCTCCACGGAAATGATTTAGATTAAGTCATCTATATTTTTTAGAAAGTAAGTTATATCAATAATCTTTATCGGGTGAGATACTCAATTTCATCCATATACTATAGAATTTTCATATCTTTTTTAATATTATTATCTCATACGTCAAATACATACTAGGATTACATCTAGTAAACTATAATTTTTCATAAAATTGATATGGGAGATGAAGAAAAAAGCAAATAAATTTTCCACTCAGATGTCCTATTTGGTAATTATTTTTTATTTCTCATTTTCATTTTTAGTTAACATTTCTTAAAATTATATACAAATTTTGGAAAAAACAAAATCCAATTTGACAGTTTTTTAAAAATATATTACTCTTATCATTTTCTTACCCCTAATAAATATCTAAAATAATTAAATATAACATAATAATTATAAAAATTCATTGTCATGTAAAAGTTTGATTCTTTGACAACATTCTCCCAGTCCTAACCTTCTAAAAACTTGGGACAAAGGGTATGAAAATAAGTGAATTCAAGTCATATTGACATATACTTTCATCCAGAGCACATATTTCACAGCCTTTCCTTCCCACCTCACAAAGTCAATACAGAACCAGTTCAAATAGAAATGGTTTTCCAAAGACAATAGTTTTAAGGTATGAGCACAACTGACCCAGATGTTCTACGGCTCTCAAGGTCAGCATGCGCCTGCGCAGCTTGAGATAAAGGGTACGTATGATTAACACGAACCCGAAGAGCACCAGATTCTACATTTGCGAATACCTCTTGTGCAGCCTTCAACCGCTCATCCCAGGTAATGTTATAATGCATTAGGGTAGGTCTCGTCAAGAACAGAGATTTTGCTGCAAGATCAGAGAGTGGAACCGCATTGGGGGTACCTGACGATTGCCCAAAGCTCACCATGTAGCCACGAGGCTTTAGACATGCCAATGATCCCTGTTCATGGAAAATAAAATCATGTTTGAGGCTCTCTCTCCCAAGAAAAATTCTGTTACTAAATTCTATTCAAGTTGGCTACCAGTAACTAAATCATGATTTTTTTCTTATATGAGCAGCTGGAAAAATGAGTAGTTTTATTTGACTAGAAGGTGTTTAAGAATTGCTGAATTGTTTAGAAGTTAGCAAATACACATTTCCTTGCAATTCACAACAATCTACAGTTTGTGTAGTAGTAACTAAGAAGAGTATAAAAAATATAAGGTTTAAAATTTAAATCCTATTTTGGTCCCCGAACTTTCAAAATGTCCATTTTGGTTCTTAAACTTTTAAATTTGTTTCATTTTGATCTCTGAACTTCCGAAATGATGGAGACGAGTATTATGTAAGCGAATAATAGATGACAAAACAATATATACCAATAGTCAAAACGATTATTTTATGAAAGTTTGAAAACTAACGTAGACGTTTTAGAAGTTCAGAGATCAAAATGGGATTTAAAACAAAGTACAATTATTACCTGAAAGGTATCCTTTCCTACAGAGTCATAAACAACATTAACGCCATTTCCGCCCGTTATCTCACTAACACGAGCGACAAAATCCTCCTCCTTATAGATAATAACATGATGGCATCCGTCCTCCTTGGCTTGAGCTGCCTTCTCTTTGGTTGAGACAGTTCCAATGACAGTGGCACCAAGACTGTTAGCCCACTGACACAGTAAGGATCCAACTCCACCAGCTGCTGCATGAACGAGGACAATATGTCCAGGTTCAACCTGGAGAGAATATCAGGTGAAATCTTCTTGGTCATAAAAATGTATCCAATCCTGGGATAATGTATGTGGGGAAAGCCAAGATAGAAACCTAAACATTCCAAACATCCAAAATTTAGTAAATTGATGAAATGGGATGGGATGGAGAAATTACATGATACAACATGCTTCTAATAATTTGTCACTTCTCACATTCTCATATTTGATGTCTCATTTAAGTAGTTTTCAATAAATATAAGAAGGTACCCTTCTCCTTTTCATTCATATCAAACTCAAATGTAGTTAACTGGTTTAAATCAGAAGTTCAAATAAATCTAAAAAGGTTAAATTATAAGCTCGGCCCCTAAATTTTTATTTAATAGGTCCCTGAACTTTAAATAGTCTACTAGATCTCTAAACTTTCAATTTTGTGTCTAAAAGGTCCTTGAACTTTCAATTTTAATTTTTATGCATGGTAGGTTCTTTACTTATTGAACATTTTTTTTAATTCATGGACTACGTATAAAATTCAATAGGACCTTGTTTTATAAATTTTGTGTCTAATATGCATGTGAATTTTAAAAAATATCAAATAGGTTAGGGCTCTTTTTTTTTTATTTGGTTGATATTCATGAGTGTCCGAACCAGCTTGCTTGTACCTTGACTAATCTCACGAGACAACTGCTTGACTCTACTACATTTGGTTGCCAAGGTAACTTTAGGATATTAAATCCCAGGTAGGTTAGGGCCTTTTTAGAAAGCTCATTCGACACTTTTAAAAATTTAGAGACTTATTAGACACAAAAGTGAAAGTTTAGAAATTTGTTAGACACTATTTAAAATTCAAGAACATAATTTTTTTAAAAGTTCAAGGACGTATTAATACGACTATGAAAGTTCACGAATTAAACTTGTAATTTAACCCTCTCAAAATCACCTTTCACAAAGATCATGCTCATTGAACACCATTTCCTTTCCCCTCAGGTATACAACACATCCATGTAAACTGGATGAAAAATCCTAATCTATAATCATGTGAGTGTACTAGAAGTCTAAACATGTAATGGTAGACTACCAGTTCTCAAAGCCATGTTCCTTAAGTCTAACGACTGCAAACAAACTCTATGAAACTCAACCAACCTTGTAAGAATGATGGACTAGATATTGAGCTGTCAGGCCCTTCAGCAGGACAGATGCTGCAACTGTAGCATCAACTGAGGGAGGAACTGGAACAACTTTGTCAGCGGGAAGTATCTGTTCTTCGGAATATGAGCCCATCGGATTCCCAGCATAAGCAACAATATCTCCAATTTTCCTGTCATTTACTCCATGGCCAACCGCTGTCACCACCCCAGCAGCTTCCACGCCTGTATTGTAAATTATATTACATAATGTGGCATGTAACATAAAGCTCGCTTCTCCCACATTCTAATAAAGTATTAGCTAAGTATTTGGATACTTGTCATGAGTACTACACTGTTTCAGTTGTCCTGAGTCAGTTTTGTACTTTGTGAAGTATAATGAATAATGAGACAACAGGTGAGGCGATCAAGGGGAGACGACAAAATGGTAGCTCTCAGAATACAAAATCTTATTAATAACTAGGGGAGGGGACAATATTTAAGGCTTTTAAGTTTCAGCCTTGCCATTCAATTCACGAGGCCCCGAGGAATTAAACAAGTTTGAGCATCGATATGATATTGTTTGTCTTCCAACCTATTATAAGAGACATGGAAAACCTCTAAGCTATGGAGGTTTTCCATGTCTCTTATAACAATTAGCCAATTTCATACAGCACTATTTCTCTCACAGGCTTGGTACTTTTAACTCTTTACAGGAAACAAACTGAAAAGATTGCATAAAAAAAAAACCCCCAACGATAGCTGAACATGGTAACAAAAGCCTTAAAACTTCACAGACAGGTATGAATCACCAAAAGATGGAGGAGGACACAAACTCATGTCGGTAATTAAAGAAACCTTTTCCGGAGTCCATTATCTTCCAATTAATTTACAGAAAAGAACAAAACCTGAAGTAAAGGGCATGGTAGCAGCTTTATATACTCCTTTCCTGAAGTAAACATCGATAAAATTTAGACCAATTGCCTTGTTTCTAACTCGAATCTCACCCTCCTTCGGTTCTCCAATATCCACATCCTCCCATTTGAGAACCTATTACCATTATTTTCAATAATAAATCCAACGGCAGAGCAGCACAAGCAAAAATTAATTCTAGCAGTAGGGTTTTTTTTTTTTTAATGCGCAGAATTCATATAAATCCATACCCAACTGAAGGAAAAGAATCGAAAATTGAATACCTCAGGTCCACCAAGTTCATGAACTCTTATGGCTTTTACCATTTCTGTGGCCGACGATTCTGCTGTACTCTCACTATACAAGTTTCAGTCCCGAAGAGCCGTAAACGAGCAACTGGGTGGCGCTGGAATCGGTGGAACAAACGCTGGAAAACTATGGAGCTGCAGAGGTCTGAAAGAGGGGAATCATCCGAAGGTCGTAATGGAAGCTGGTTCTTCGTAAGTACCGAACGTTCACTTGGACGGTATCGAACTTTTCAGAATTCAAATATAAATATATTTTTTTAGTATTCAATATTCTATTGATGTAACCAAGAAAAGAAATGCACTAAAAAGTTTAGAAATTCCTGTAAAATTTATGTTAAAATTTTGGGAGGAGAATAGTTGGTTTTTAAGATACAAGTAAGAATGACAACACGGGACGGGACGGGGTCGAGGGCCCCCCATCCCCGCCCTTTTGGGAATTTTTTTCCATCTCCGCCTTCATCCCGAAATTTTGGAGGGGCGAGGAATCTCCGTCGGAAACGGGTCCCCGTTATAAATATATTTTTTTTAATTTTTAAAATTTTTTAATTAATTTTTATTATTATTAGTATAAAAAGTGAAAAAATTCTAAATGAGTTGTTAGCTTGAGTTTTTTTTAAAAAAATAGAAAGTATTTATAAAATTAATATATATTAATATTATTATATAAAAAAATAGAAAAAGTAATAAAAATTTAAATGAGGCGGGGTCAGGGACGGGGATCGGTCCATCCCCGTCCTCATGGGGAACCCGATTGGGATCCTAGTTTGACCCGGTCCCCGATCAAACCGAGGAATCCGCGGGGATCGGGTCCCGTTGGTATTTTTGCAATTCCTAGATACAAGTTAAAAATTGACCTCGTCCCCGCATGTTTACTAAAATAAAAAATAATAATTTAAAAAATAATATATATATATATATATATATATATATATATATATATATATATATATATAAACATATATACTTAGAAATCTATGGATGTCCTCTTCTTTTCCTTTAAAAGCACAATTGCAAAGTGTTTGATTGGAGTGATGTGATTCTAAATGTTTCTTTTAGTGATGAATAATATAACATCTTTTTTAGTTGCTTCTTGTTATGCTATCTAGTTTGGGCATAGCAACACAAGGAAAAACACATATTGTATGAGAAAAATACTATTTTCATTCTTTATACGTTTCAAACTTGTTAAGCTTGAGGATTTAAATAGAAGAGTTAGAAAATATGAATTTAAGATGTTGAGGTAAAAATTTGGTTTTCTGAAATTCACGCACCAATTTTCAATAATAAAAAGAGATTCGACATACCTACAAAATAAAAGGATTACACAATCGTGTGGTGCTAAGTCACACGCTCTGCTTAAGTCAGAATCATGGTTTAAGGTGAAGCGTAGCAAAAAATAGGGTTTTGTAATGTACCTTGATCATGATGTTACTTTCCCTATTTATTGATGTGAGAACCCTTGGAATTCTATGGATCATCGAGTTAGTAGGATATCTTTTTTTTTAATAGGAGATGGTGTCGCCGTGCACCAGACGGAGCAATAGTGGAGTTCGGGCCCGACTTAATTATCCAAAAACATAAGAAACCTATGTGTTAGGGTATTTGTTTAAGAAAATGAACCATACTTAAATATTGACTCAGTATTAGGTATTGAACTATATTTAAGTATTGACCCGTTAATAGGTAAATTCCTTCCCACCGCCAATTAACAGTTAATAACTATTTATTTTTTTTTAAATTATGAAAAAGAAACTCTCTCTTTTGGGAGGAGTAAGTTGAATCCTATGAGTTTGTCCAATAAAACTTAAACTTGACAGAACTATGGGATAAACATGAATTAGATATCTAAAGGCAAATGCACCTAAACACCCGTTTGAAAGAGAAAAAAAACTTTAACCACTAAGTTATTTTCCAATTCAATTATAATAATAATAATAATAATAATAAGAAAAGTTACCTCAATCATAGTTTTTTCTTTTCATATTTAATAAATATTAGGTGAAAGATCTCTTTAGTACACCAGTTCACTAAGAGTGAGAATACTTCACACAGTCATGTGAGGTGGAGATCGAATTAAAAGATAAAATAATATTTTATCCATTGAATTATGCTCCAACTAAATAGATCAATCATAGTTATGATAATATGAATTTTCTATATTTTTTTATTGTTGCAAATATTGTAGTTTATATCCCTAGAAATTAGTTTTTTTAGCTAATATCCAATATTGAATCAAAGTTTTAAATATTGATGTCGATAAAAATATCAAAGTCTTAATTTTTTAGGAATGTTGATAAAAATATTTGATAAAATATCGATCTTGATGGATATTTTAAAAAAAATTATAAAAATAAAAAATTAGTAAAAAATATTTAAATTTACGCATAAATATTTTTAAAATGATTAATATTAATATCACTTTAATATTTTAAAATTTTTTTGTTGATTTTTATTTTTATTTTTATTTTTTATAATACGATTTCATATCAACCTATGATCCATTAAAGAAAATACGGATAGAAATGTTTTGAAACCAAGATTTTGTTGGTTTTCAAAATTTCGATTTAACTTTTTCTTCAAATTTCTGTCAACGTCATTTCCATCTGCATTTTCCAACACGTGTTGAGCAGTTTCTTCTTCGCCCATTGACGTCCTCTGATTTTCTGCTGAAACGAGGATCGCTGATGACTTTCTCACTAAAATGGGAGTTCATTTAACCACCAACCAATTAGTGGGTTATACAAGCATCGCAATTTGAAGTTCATCGCATTTCTTGAATGAATGGAGCGGACGGGAAGCTGCTCCGCCGTGCAAGATCAATCTCCCCCAAATTCACACCTCCATCCCCAAACGTCGATTCTGAAATCCGAATTCTTCTTGGATGGCTTCGGCGAGGTCACCCTCACTTGTAATTCAGATGGGCTGTCCTGGGAATTGGCTGATTCCACAGAAATTGTAATTTCTTCTTCCCATTTGAATTCTTGCCCAATTTGAGGATCAATGGCAGCTTCTTGAGTTTGTTCTTTCCTTTTCCTTCCTTTTAGTGGGCATCCATCCTTTGATTTTGCTTCATATGGGTGATTACATTTATCTTACTGCGTGAGAAATGTGTTGACGTTTGGCTATGTGTAGCATTTATTGTTGAAAGGGGTCAGGCAAATGTTTCAGAGTAGTATAATTTTAATTTTTGTTTCTTGTTCACCTAATGTTTAGATGTTTATGATGAAGATTTTTTTGGCTATGGGCTGATCATTTTGCTGCTGGCTTTTTTAGTTTTCATGGCTAATTTCTTCTTCTCCAATGACCATCTTCTTCTTCTATCTTTTTGTCTGAACTATGGAAATTGGTTTGTTTAAGATGAACTATGATGGAATGATAATGATTCTCTTACAAAACATCTGATGTTAATGACAAATAGAAAATCTTCTAAAGACGAGTTCTCTACAATCCAATTGGACAGGATGGCTCAGACTGCTTGGGCATTAAGCTTGGCCCTGAAGTTGCAGCAGAGATCAAGTTTTCTGATGTTTATGCTATTGAGTTTAACAACTATGGATCGATTAGGAAATCGAAACTTCCAGTTGCTCCAAACTGTATATTATGTGATGAATACGAGGTTTTTCATTACTCATTTGTTGATTTAATTCTTCTTATCCTTGATTTTTTAAACTATACCTTATTCTTGCTTTTATTTGTCACTGATACAGATGTATAGATTTACAGTGCATGGTTTCCAAAGATCAAAATCTCAGCCTACTCCATGGGTCCTAACTATGTTTACATTTGGTCATGAGGACCCGCAAATATGTCAGATGTGGGTGAATCAGATTAATGAATCTTTGGGCCTTCAAGTTGGGAGGCCAAAGAATCTTCTAGTAAGTTATGGTAACCATGATTGTATTTAAATCTATAAGGACCAGCTTTTGTTCATTTTGGTCTATTTACCTTTTGGTTAGTCAATTTAAGTGAACATACAAAGTCTTCTGATACTTTCCAAGCTTCCTTTGATGGATTAGGTTTTCGTTAATCCAAATAGTGGGAAAGGGAATGGATACAGAACCTGGGAAGCAGTGACTCCCATATTTGTACGGGCTAAAATCAACACGAAGGTAAAAATTTTGCTTTGATATTTGTTGATGGTATGCATATGCTTACATATACACACATCAAGTACACTTTGATTCGATTCGATTCAATTCATTCTTCTGTTTCCTGAATCTACTTTCCTTTTCATGATGGTAAAAAAAATTGCGGAGTTTCAGGTAATTATGACCGAAAGGGCAGGTCATGCATTTGATGTAATGGCATCTACTGCAAACGAGGACCTTGAAATGTATGATGGTATTGTTGCTGTTGTAAGTAAGAGATCTCTGCCTTTTTACTTCATATTTTGACCTCTAAGATGGAGTGATCAGGTCAAGCTATATTAGTTTGACTAACTCAAAAATATTGTTGGTTTTTGACACTCCATTTCTCCGGATAATAAACTGGCTCTGCCCTAGAAATTAGTCAAGTAACCTAAAAGTCTGACTGTTGGTGCTCATTGTGAAGGAGGAATTTTGGCATTTGGTTGAGACAGCATTGTGGCATTGCCAATTTAATTCTTTGATTTTATTTGAAGACAGAAACAATTGACAAAATGAGTAGGAAAATCCCAACTTGTTCAAGTTTAAACTTGTCCCTAAAACAGGAATGAGATGCTAAGTTGTGTTTCAAGAACATATGAAGAAGATTATGGAAAATGATTTACATGAAAGTTACCGATTTGCTTCAAATATCCAGAATCTTCTTTGATGAAAAGGACATGAAAGAGACGTTTTTTCAGTTCTATTATCAAAGACTAAATTGCTTTGGTCCCGTTTAATAACCATTTCATTTGCTTTCACCTTCCTTACAAATAAAATAGAATTCTTAGCCAAATTTCAATAATAATGATGATGATGATGATAAATAAAATAAAATAAAATAAATAAAAACTACTTTTTCAGTTTTCCAAATTCAGCTTATTTTGAAAATATTTTAAAAATGAGGTACTAGACCAAAGAAACACAGAGAATTTTAAAAACAGAAATTCAAATAGTTATGGGGCCTTAATATTTCTGCCATTGGTATTCTTTCTAAAGAACAAATTTCAATTCAAATTGTATGATAAAAGGGGACACCAGACCAGCAGACTTATCAGGTGGGAAACAGGATTCTTATCAAATCTTTTGCCCTGAGGGTGGAACAACGGTTTCAACTATTCTTTTTCTAGTCTAGGCCACTTGATAACCATTTGTTTTATGTTTTTAAAAACTAAGCTTGGAAACACTACTTTCATCTATGTGTTCCTTTGTTTTGTCATTTAGTTTTATAAACATTTTTAAAATCTAGGCAAAATTGCGAAATTTCGAAAACCACATGCAGTAGTTTAAAAAACAAGCAAAAAATTATTTATTTTTTTTTAAATTTGGGTAAGAATTCAAACATGTTTCCAAGAGGAGAAAAGCTTACCAATGGGATTCTACAAACAAAACAAGCATAATTTTTCAAAACAAAAAACAAAAAACGAAATGTTATCAACGCCACCTTGATTTTTTATTTTTCAGTTTTGCCGAAGTACCTGATATTGCCTTCAAAGATTTCGCTAGTTTCTGAATTTCTCTCCGTCTTCATATCCATCTTATTTATGCTATTTATGTCCCTAGGGCGGGGATGGTTTCTTCAATGAGATCCTCAATGGGTTTCTTTTGTCAAGGCATGGGGCACCTTACCCGCCAACACCTTCAGATATCATGGACTCCATTCAGGCAGAAGGTAACTACCCTAATGAAATGATGACTGAAAATGTCAATAGCAGTGAAGATCAGTCGCCACTCCTCTCAGGTGCTAGATATGTTGGATCAGGATTCTCAACATCTCGTATGTACTGTGGAAGACATATCCTTTTTTAGATGAAAATCTTAAGCCCGTTTGATAACATTTTTGTTTTTAGTTTTCTATTTATTGAAGTTACGTTCGTAGCCAAATTTTATTTTATTTTTTAAGTTAAAGTTCCCAATAACCCGTTTTTGTTTATGAAATTTGGCTAAGATTCCTAAAAGTGTTTAAAAAAAAAAAACTAAACAAAGAAAACATGGATGGGTATATGTGTATATGTAGTTTTTATAAGCATAAGTTTTAAAAGCAAAAAAAAAAA